CGTTAAACACATTATCACAAGTTTCACTGATTACTTTATCATTTTCACTTGAGCACACTGAGACTATGCAGTTCGCGCTTTTCCCTATTTAATGCACAAGGAGTCATTCTTGTGGATTAATTGTCTGCTTTCCATGGGACACATTTATCCAAGTATGTACTTTTGTCCGCTCTATTTTTGTTGAACAAGCACACTGTGTTAATGAGGATGTGTGGTTACTTGCAGATGAGGTAGTAGATGAGGTCAGCATTTCCTTCGTGCTGTTTCCTGTGTTTCTGTGGATGTGAGGGTTGTGTGATGTAACGTTTATGAAAACGGTCTTGTTTTGACCTAAAACCTTAAATCAGTTGATTCTATAATGAGGTATGCACAGTTAAGGGAAAAAGCTTGCCTTTATCAGAATAAAGGCTTTGTGTTGGACGCCATAATGTCATGTCTAACTTCTCAATGGAAAGAGGCTTTGATCGGGATCATCACACACATCAAATATCCTGCACTTGAACAGAGAGACTAAATGTGATTAAGGGTTTAGGGATTTCTGCCCGGAGATTTGGAGCTCTGCTGGGTTCCAGGCTCCTGGCATTCCGTCCCATTCTGCTCCAGACTCCACAGAGAAGCTCCGTGATTCCCAGGGGATTCACACCTCGCCGCTAATCCTTTCCGGTGGCGCTATTAAGACTTATCATAACGAGATTTCAGCCACCAGCCACCTCGCTGTGGAATTTGATTAGAAACACCTGCAGAAGAGAGATGCACTATTCTCTCACTGTCAAGATCAAAGACTGAGAGTGAGAGAGATGCGTTTGTTTTAACCATCAGTTACAGCAGGACAGAACAGCCTGACATATGTCAAATGTGTAATACAGGGACTTTCAAACTGGGAATGCTCTGTGGAAAGCTTTACAACTAATAGGGGAAATATAAAAAAGTGTATTTGTATATAAATAATGCTCAAATAATGCTGTCTGCATGGTGTCTGGTTTAACAAATACCCAGAAAACAAATTTAGGTTCTAGGAACGTTCTGGAAACGTTAGTTTTTGGTTCCCAGAACGTTCCCTTAAAGGTTAATGGAACGTTCCCGGAACATTCTTCTTTCGTTGTAAAAATAGAACCTAAAAATAACCTACATGGAACGTTTATAACGTTCTTGTTTGGTTCCCAAAAAAAATAACCTCATGGGACCATTCGGTAACGTTAGGGGAACGTTCTGTGTTTGCTACACAATAAATAATATAATCATTTTTTTTTAATTATTTACAGAATTTCACAGTGTCATGGTACTTTCTAAAATTCCATAATTCTATTGACAGCTATTTTAATGTTTGTAACAGTTACAGTTCCAAATATTTTTTCATATAATATTCTACACATTGTTTTTATCACAGTATACATTTTGTATAGCTGCCTGTGCCTATATATATTTTAGAAAGGGGTTAGATTTGTCATTGAAATATCAAACAAACAGCACTAGTGCACTCTGTAATTAAATTGTTTCACAAAAAAAGATGTTTCAAATGATTAAATATGATATAATAGGGCATTTGTACACAACATGTAAGGGTATTAGGACCTATTCACCTCTAAACCACAGCAAACCAAAGTGACTACTTTTGTGATCTCAGACTGCGATGAGGAGTGAGATCTGGAGGTCGAGTCTCTCCGGCAGATTTTGAAGTTTGCAGGGTTGTGTGGGGCCGATCCTAAGGGGATGTTCTCATTATTTTATCACAGTCTGTGGGAGAATGTTCAGGGTTATGATAATTGGGTTAGTTTGCTTGTATGAGGTCGAGTACTGAGGCTCTGTGAGTGGTGTGGAGGCCATGCAGATCATTTTAGGGTAACAGTTGGAATCTGGGAATGAAGTAGGTTGGGTTTAACAAAGGTTGAGGAGGGGGTGGAATTAGTTGAAGCGAGTTCAGAAAGAGTGAAGTGATCCATGATGATCTCAGCACGATTAGACATTGTCTTTTTGTGGTCTTGGACTTTCTCAAGAATCTGATTTGGGCCCAAATCCCCTCACATGTGATATATTTATATGTATGAACAGCTAAAATCACAGACTGAATTCAGAATACATCTGACATTTTCAAATTTAAAAATGGAAATGGATCTGTATCTTGATTTATTATTATTTTATTTGTTTATTTTTGGCAATGTGCCTTTAGTGTGACGAATCAGTTTGCACCTTGTCCTAGATAAACCCTTTTGTAAGTTTTATTAAATGTTGTTGTTATTATTATTTTGTCGTAGTTGATGTTTATTTGCATTTAGGGATGGATTGTTGTGCACTGCAGCAGAGCCGTCGTCTGGATTGGCATCGGGAACATACTTCATAAGAAGCGCTGAGGCAGAAATACCTGATAGCCACGTTAGTGGAACCATGTGCGTAAGCACTCGCAGAGAACCGCCCTGGAAACTGTTACTCTCAGCGAGTCACGCTATACTTCTTTCTCCCCTCTCTCAAACTTTCTGTTTCATCTCCTTCACAGCACTGTTTTATCCAAGTATTCTGCTATTAATATCCACATTCTCGGCTGCGACAGAAAGATTCATTTTGCCATGTCAATATGCACCTGGATTTATTTAGAGGAAACACAGAGGAATAGAACAAAATCTCCCCTCCGACCCAAACTATAATTGACAATAGGTGTTTAATCATCTAGAGCCATGATTATCCCTTAAAGGTTTACTCCAATGAGTTCCATGTTACTGTATGTAACCAAGAATCATTTTCATCATCGTCTGAAGAATCATCATCTGTTAGCACATTTTTTCTTCATAACTTAAAGGGATACTCGACTTTTTTTGGAAATAGGCTCATTTTACAACTCCCCCAGAGTTAAACAGTCGAGTTTTACCGTTTTCGAATCAATTCAGCCGATTTTCTAATATTTAGAAGAATATCAGTAACCAGACAGTTTCTGGTCTCATTGACTTCCATAGTATATTTTTTTTCCTACTATGGAAGTCAATGAGACCAGAAACTGTCTGATTACTGATATTCTTCTATATATCAGAAAATCGTCTGAATGGATTCAAAAACGGTAAAACTCAACTCTTTAACTCTGGGGGAGTTTTACAATGAGCCTATTTCCAAAATAAGTGGAGTATCCCTTTAATGACTAAATGGTTGGTTGGGAATTTGATAGCACTACTTGTATTGATGTCTGCCTTGGATTATTTGCATTTGCTTGTATTGTTCCCAATCCCATTAATAAATCACGTTGATTAAGAACATATAAAAGAATTGGGCACACTTGGCTGAATTTATTAAATGTATTATTTACAAATCTAACATTTATATATTATATTTTACTATATTATATTATTAAACTTTTTTTTAGTTCGGTCAAAGAAAAAGCAGCAAACAAGTAACCTCCTTCAATAATTTAAAAAGCATCCCAGGCTGCACCTCATGAAGCTGGTTGAGTGAATGTCTAAAATGAGGAATATTTGAAACCTAGTCTAAGGGTGGTGATTTTTTGAAGACGCTCAAATATAAGATACACTAAGGCCGTCCTTAGGGTGGTGCGACGGAATGAGGGGACCCCCCCAAAGGACAAACGCACCTCTTCTAACTTACTAGGCCCCTAACTTACTAGGTTCTTTCTAATTACTTGGCCCTGAAAAATTCTTGGGACTAAGATATCAATGATTCAATTGTGTTGCTGCTACACTGTTTTTGACAGTTTGACTATACTAATGTTCTAAAATGTGAAAAATATTTGACTTGTAGTTAATATAAGAGGTTGATAATGAATTGACCAATTAGATATTCACCCAAAAATGAAATCTTCCTCAGAGCGAAACTTGTCAATGCCAAAAAAAAACATTGTGACAGATGGGATGTTTGGAACAACAGTAACGCTGTCCTCCCGTGCTGAAGTCTGCTACTTTGACTTCATCAGAATTCAAACCTCAGCTAAAATGGCATGTGGGGGGCTGCATGTGGATGAGTGAGCAGAACTGGGAATGTCTTATGAGAAGTTTGAGTCAGAATGGCGCTGGCTTTCTCATAGCCTATCTGTCCCTGTGGTAGTAGAGAGGTCATTGGGATGCCAGTACAGTCAGGGCGGTCTGTTCTCTCCTGGCGACTCAGACTGTGTGTTTATCCTACATGTCGCTCTTTGAAGTGCATTGGTAGTGTTTTCTGAAGTGCACTGGGGGTGTGTGTAATTGATTGGACTGGCAGGCTTTTTGCAGATTATTCCACATGGTGAGACTGCTCTTAGCACACAGCAGCAGGCTATATATATACTCAATGCCCATCTGCAAATTAAACCCTGACACACTGATTCACACACACATAACCAATAACTGCTAATGCTCGCTTATCTCTATTTAATTGACCACCACCATTGCGCCCATTTGTTTTCCCATTATGACGATTATAAAAAAAATGTTTTATTACATATTCATTTTTAAATACCGCACATAAAATGAAGATGGATATCGTATCTTAAGATGCAGATCGCTCTATCTTAAGATGAGCATGAGTGTTATACATTGTAACCCAACTTATTTTATATGCGGGGTCAAAAAAAATTGCTAGCATTTTTGATAATGTTGTGATATTTTCATATTGTGTTGTATGAATATCTGAACATGCAATATATCAAAAGCAGGAACAGATTGTATTTTTACTTCATGCATTCCTTTTTTATCATTACTTAACAAAAAAAAGCAACATTTTGAACAAAAAGCTGAGAAAATCGTTTTAGTTTTTTTTGTCAAAGACTACATCCAGATTGGGTTCTACTAAATGCATCCTTTATTGGTAAATAATGTACAAATGAATACCTTTTGAAAAGGTACCACCCCAATGACAGCTTTTATACCTTTTTTTCTGAAAGTGAAAGGAGAAATTTTTTTATACCACTTTTATTTGTGTGGCGACGTCTAAAAATGTTGTTATAAACTTTATTTTACAGGTTACATGACAATCAGCCTGTTTATGCGATGATATTTTTCCTCATCTTCCTGCTTTTCTCTCTACAGAGTGTGTATCCTGGCCGTGTGTTCGCCATGGCTCTAGTTCAGGCACTGCCTGTGCCCACTGATCACCCAAAGCCCAGCGCTGACATCCAGCAGTGCTGCTCAGTGTCTCACTCCCCCCCCATAGCTGTGGCAGGCACCATGGGTTCTGTCAGCAGCCTGATCTCTGGACGTACCTACCAGGAGCGGCACTGCCGAGCCGCCAGCGACTTTGGTGCCAAGTATCGCAAACCCACACCTGCCATAAGCTGTTTCCGACAGCAAGAGGGCACACTGCGCAGCGCCAGCTCACAGGAGCAGCTTCTCACCAGCCAGCCTCCTTTACCTGCTAAGAACAAATCCTCTGCCCTCATCTCTGCTGGCAATGGCAACTATGGCTATTTGTGTGACGAGCCAGTGGGCGACTGGAATGATAACCATGTGACCACGTGCAGCCCATCCAGTGATACTGAAGAGCCTCCTGATAACAGAGGCATGAATGGTAATATTGGTGGTCCTCCACCCAAACTCGTCCCAGTGTCCGGCAGACTGGAAAAGGTGAGTCTGGTGGTGCTTGGGAGGTAAACATTAAAAAAATACAACAAACATTTTTAAATTAGTGACACAACATCTTTAAAATACACACAAAATAGACACGGTTTTAAAATACCTTGACCGAAGTCCCGATATTACTCAAACGTCTTTCACAATGTGAAATATTAGCATAATGCCGATGCAAAGGCTTCAAAGGTTTCTGTGAATTGTAGTGCTGTTGCCTTTTCGTGGCGTCATATTTACAGAGAACGGCTTCCTGCACAATGCACATCAACTATATGCAAAGACTACCTACCAGCTTGCAGAGTTGGTTCCTATGTATCGGCTTGATTATCCGCATTTTCAGAATCTGACTCGGGCTCGAACTGAAAAAACATTTAAACCTTAGGCATTATTAACTGTTTACAATTGCTTAAAGCCTTATTGGAAGCTTAAGCTCGCAATTATGGTAAGGGGCGTTACTTTTCTGACACAGATGTCCATTAAAAGTGCATTAATGATAATACAACAATCTTTGAACCATTTCTTTAAATAAAATGCTGTCCATCATATCATTGTCGAGGTCTCATTCATTTGTTGAAGAAATGAAAGAAGGTTTTGCTGATGCTCATTTCACACAGTGGGTAGTACATCTAATTGGCTATTATTTTTAATTGATCAAGCAGAGCCTTTAATCACTGCAATACATCAATATGCCATCACTGTGATGAGTCACTGTCATCATACACATTTAACATCTCATTTACACTCAGATATGTTGGTGGCTTCACTCTTTAGCTATTTATTGTGCTTTCAAAAGTTTGGGGTCAGTAAGTTCATTCATTCATGGGGTCATTCATTTTTAATTATTAAACCAACAACACATTAAATTGATCAAAAGTGACAGTAAAGGCATTTCTAATGTTACAAAAGAATTCTGTTCTATTCATCAAATAATTTTGAAAATATTAATTTATCACTGTTTCCACAAAAACATTAAGCAGCACAATTGTTTTCAACATTGATTATAATAATGTTTCTTGAGAACCAAATCCGCATATTAGAATCATTTCTGAAAGATCATGTGACACCTAAGAAGAGAAAGTTCAGCATTGCTATCACAGGAATAAAATAAAATTGAAATATTTGTATAAGAAAACACTGTTTTACATTAACCATTTACTTTGGATTGCAGAGTATGGAGAAGATACTTATCCGTCCCACTGCCTTTAAGCCTGTCGTGCCCAAAAATCGCAACTCTGTGCAGTACCTGTCTCCACGGTCAGGGGGCAGTCTGTCTGAAAGCCAGGGCAGCCTCAACCTCTTACTTCCTGGCAATGGAGCGGGGTTGGGTTGTCAGGAAAAGCGCAACTCTTACAGTGGGGGACGCAACGCACGGAGTAGCCAGTCCGTCACCATGTCCGACTCAGGCCGCAACTCCCTTTCTAGCCTACCCACTTACAGCAGCACAGGGTACAGCCTGGCACAGAGTGAAGTACCCACTGGGCACATGGAAACCGCACGCTCCGGTGGTGGCCACGGACACTCTAACTCCGACAGCGGTCGGTCGTCATCCAGTAAGAGTACAGGGTCTTTAAGTGGGCGTGGCCAGCCCCTCTCAGACAGCGGATCATGTGGCCGCTCCCCGGCTCCAGGAGAAGGTTACGAAGGCGTCATTCGGGATCTTGAGGAGAAGCTGAGGGAAAGAGACCTGGAGCTGCAGCAACTTAGGGATAACCTGGATGAGAATGAGGCAGCCATCTGTCAGGTGACAATCACTGTTTTCTACCAGTTATTAGTGTCATTTTACAGGGAATTGTCAGATACAGTGTGTACAACCTAAGTCAAATCATGTGTCTTCTCCATGCAGGTGTATGAGGAGAAACAGAAGCGCTGCGAGCAAGAGTTGGAGGACCTTCGGCAGAGCTGTGCCTCGAAGATGAAGCAGGTGCAGCTGAAGGCACAACGGGCGCAACAGGTTCTGCAGTTGCAGGTGTTTCAGCTGCAACAGGAGAAGAAGAAATTACAGGAGGACTTCTCTCAACTGCTTCAAGAACGGGAGGCATTGGAGAAGAGATGTGCCTCTTTTGAGAGGGAGCAGACTCAACTAGGCCCTCGTCTAGAGGAGACAAAGTGGGAGGTGAGACCCTTTTAGCCATGTGGTTCTATCAATGAGTAATTACTAGATTCAACGAAATTGAATGTTTCCGTCTCACAGGTGTGTCAGAAGTCAGGTGAGATTTCTCTGCTGAAGCAGCAGCTGAAGGACTTACAGGCAGATCTTGGTCAGAAGGCCAGCGAGATTGTTGCTTTGAAGGCCCAGTTGAGAGAGGCTCGTTCTGAGCTTCAAGCCAGCCAGACTCGCTCACAGGAAGCCCACGCCACAGCCCGCACTCGCACACTCGAACTCGAGGTTTGCGAGAATGAGCTACAGCGCCGCAAGAGCGAAGCGGAGCTCCTGCGGGAGAAGATGGGCCGTTTGGAGGAAGAGTCCACCCGTCTTAAAGAGGCTCTGGCGGTGCCCACATCCCAAGCTCTACCTTCTAAAGGCCAATGCATGAGCTTGCCCCTGCCCCAAAGCCGTGGGGTGATCACTCACGGGATCAGTCCCGCTTTCCGGGACAACAACAGCGAAGAGCAGATTCTAGCATATGAGAGTGATGAAGCGAAGGTGCAGCGCCAAAGCATGGACATGCTTCACGGTCTCCGTCAGCAGGTGGACCGACTGCGGGCAGAGCTGATGTACGAGAGGAGGCGGAGCGAGGACCAACTGGAGGGCTTTGACGAGGAACGCAGGGTGTGGCAAGAGGAGAAAGACAAGGTGATCCGTTACCAGAAGCAGCTGCAGCAGAACTACATCCAGATGTACCGCAGAAACCGTGACCTGGAGCGTGTGATGAGGGAACTTAGTCTGGAATTGGAGAACAGGGACATGGAGGAGTTTGACATGCGTAGCAATGAGATCCATTTTGAGGAGATCACTGCCACTGAAATCTAACCCACATCTTACTCTACCCCCTCCAAAAAAAAATACATCTCCACTGTGCTTGTGTGAGGAGCACCAGTCCATCTGCCGTGTCATTTGGCATGCTTCTCTACACTATTTCAGACTTGTGTTCAAGGCAAGTTATTGTTGTGATGTCCACAGAGGCCAATAAAACAGGGAATGTTTGTATTTAGACATCTTTATTATCTCTTCCTGCCTCAGAAACCTGTGAGGGACTACAGATGAATGTAAAATGACTGTGAACTGCAGTTAAATGATGCCATTGATGAAGGGAAGGATGTCCTAAGAAAATGGTGCTTTGTTGCTGACAAAACCCTATAGTACAACTAGGGCTGTAATTAAGTTCAAGAAATCACATTGGAAGTTCACAAAAGACGTGTTTTTTGTTGGATAAACTACACATTTAAACAGAATACAGAGCTCTCGATGTTTTTTACCCCTCAAAGTTTATTTTACTACTTTGAACTACACGATATTGAAATGAGTAGCAAGATGAGACGTAATGGCCAAAGATGTAGTGAGATGTTTGTAGTGTAGAGAGAACACTAGAATGCGTCCTTTGTGAACTACCTTGGACAGATTGACAAACCCAACTGTAGACCAAGGATTGGCTTATATTCAATCATATTAAGAAAAAAATCTAACATATATGAAACTGTCTATTCAATACTTCACTCGCCTGCTACACTTTAATTTGGAAATTATTCTTAGCAAATGTTCTTTGCGATTCATTTGATTACATAATTAAAATTGTTTGGAACTTGACAGCCTTTATTACAATCTTTTCATTAGTTCAACTTACACACAATCAGAAAAGACTGTCTCCGCACAGAAATATACAGAAATGGCTATGAGATTGAAGAACTGGCACTGCATGAAAAGACTCAAATCCGGCAATATCCGGGCATGGTAAACTCCTGTGCAATTTGATGTTTGCTGGATGTATGTGGGAAAAAGCGGATCAGAGTAACACGGAACAGTATATTTCCAGACAAACCCGGAAACCTCACCTACGCGGGCATATACAGGAATCCGTGAAATTTTACGGACATATACAGCTGAAACACTGCTGGATGTGAGAGGTGTGAAGAAGACCTTTCATATGTTAATGACTGACACTAAGGGTGCTGGCTGTTCTCAGAGGGAGGAGTGGCAGGGGACTTCAGGATTGAAAATTATCTCTGGTCTACAGCAAACAAGTTTTTTTGTACAGAAAAATAAATAAATTCTTAAGGCCCTGAAACAGAAAACCGACGTCAAAGAACTAGCAATGACTAAAGCCAACTCTAGGGTTGGCTTATGTCGCCTGTGTCAGGGCCTTAAAACTACTGTATGAAAAAAAGTATCCTAATCAAATATTCTTTTATAAAAACAGGACAAAATAAACACCATGAATATACGTTCACAAAAACATCTGAATATTTAATGAAATAAAAAATACAGGGAAACATTTCAGAATATCTAAATTTTTATTGTGAAGTTTTACAAATTGCAGACAACAACATTTGTCGCCATTGGCTTTGCTTAGTTGGGGACATTTTTATTTAATATTCAACAATGTTATTGAACTGCCTGCATTGACACCATTATATGAGATCTGAACTGAGATGGACAATGACATCACGGTTTTGGCTTGGAGTTAATCCATGCTTCTTTGGGCATGCATGATGTGAAACGAGTGGTCGCAAAACCACCGGGCTTTCCCGTGTTATTGTCAGCAGCTGGTTATCCTTCCATGTTGAAAGGTCCAGCTGCATCATATTTATTCACAAAATTAAATAGATTCACTTGCAACGCGTCATACCGAGGTTTGTGGTTTGAGTAAATAAGTCCTTCCGCAAACAAACAAGCTGCAAGAAAAGGGGGCGTTTTGAGGTTTGAAATTCACCACTCACAACCATTAACACAACAAATGTGGTGACGTAATGGAGGTGCAACCAATAACGTTAGTGTATTGCTTCAAGCGCGAGAAAAATACTTTAAAATTACAGCATTCTTTCCCGAAGCAAAGAGAACAGTTCAAGGTTTGGAAACAGTTTTCTTCTATTCACCTTATTTTGCACGACAACAAGGGTGACGCCATTGCGTTCGTTTTGTCATCTTACTCCCGTCTGAGAAAGACTTCAACTTCCGGCTCATGAGAGGGATGAGATTCTGCGCTAGTTGAAACGAACGGTAAAATATGTCAAGTATTAAATGTTCAGTTAGGTGCTGCCATAACAGTTGGATTAAGAGGAGAGAACAATTGAACCAACGGTGTAACGAACATAATGTGAGGCGGTCAGATTGTTGTTGTGTTGCACTTTACGATTTAGCTACACCCACCACCTAAAGACGAGGAGCACCGGAGGCAATGGCGGAAGGCACACATTTGGAAGCATAGGCTTGAAAGTGCCCGATTCTGATGAGAAAACGCAAAAGTGGCGTTGCGTCATCTTTTTTTTTATTCTGCGCTTAGACGAGCGTTTTGTGTGAGAAGTCCGCGTGCAAATGGAGACGCAAAAGTGTGTGAAATTCAATGTAGTATGCACTTCAGGCGGCTAGGAGTGCATACCACAACAACACTAAGTCCACGCGCCTGCGTACAACTTTCACCGTCAAGCAAACTTTTGCGTTTTTACCGTTACACGGGAACGCGGAGGTGGAGCGTTTTTAAGATTTCCACTCTGGAGGGTGGTTTCACTTTTTTGCGTTTTTGAGCCTCAAAAACGCCATCGCCGTGTAAACGAAAGGCACATCCGATAAAATATTTTTACTTTTTCACCCGCGAGCGTTCTCGTGTAAACAGGGCCTAAGGACGGGAATCCGATTGAGGAACACCCCAGAAATGGCTCGGCTACGATGTTCCGATAAAGAAGTCACGCCGGGTGTTGAATATTGTCAGATTCAGGTAAGCTAACTTGCCTAACTGGTATGTGCTTGTTTGCCTAACTTTAGATTCGTGAAGTCCGTTCTATGAATGCATTTAAGATCAGTAACAAGCCGTAAACAAAATACAATGAATCTTGCATGATTACCATTGCCCACATACATGTTATTTATTTAACTTTGTGATATTGACCTAAGAGTCTGAAAGAATAAATGAATGAATGAATATTCACGGTAGTACAAGATAGTATGGTAACTTACATTAGTCTTACAATAGCTCACATTACTGCTATTGCACATTACGAGATGTAAACAACACTGGTCCAGATGCACTTCCTGTTTCAGTTTGTAAAAGGCTTCTTAATTTCAAATGTAAAGAAAATATCTTGAATATGTTTGTTTAACTTTTTGATTCAGTTGTTCTGTTGGTTGTACTTTAACCCAACGTTTATACAGTGTTAAAACTGAAACAGGAAGTGCTTCTGGACCAGTGTTGTTTACATCTTGTGAAATGGTCTATACAGAGATTGTTGATGCTAGCAGGCCAGCTAGCTACATCTCTCATTCAGATATTGATATTGACTTATGGCGAGTTAGGAGATTGTGTATTGTTTCGTTTTTAATTAATGTATCTTTCTCACACACTGTTCTGTGTAACTATGGGTGCCATCATCAATGAATTCTCCATGATCTATTTTAAGTAGCTAATAATGTAAAAAATGTTTATGGTTATAATATTTCCATAGATGCATCAATGAGAGTCAGTAATGCAGTGGATAACTATGAGGATGATCACATCCACATGCCCCACAGCTGTGATGCAGAATCACAATGGGAGGATCAATCTGTCTTTGGCCACAACCTGATCTTCTCAGAGAGACTCTCCAGCGTCTTGATGCTCTTTAGCGAAAGTATGAGCAGCACAGACTAACGTTACATGAAGAATCTTACAACGCTTCGAAAAGAATAAAAAAGGCACATGACGTGAACATTGCGGTAAGTCCAATTATTGTTCTATAACGTGGCTGTAAGCCATAGTTCGGTTACAATTATTGTTTTGTCTCTTGCGGTTACTGTGATGGTCAGCTTATTCCAACTGAAAATTCAGTTTTGTGGTTCTTGAAGATTGTGAATCAATTTAATTGCTTTTTAATTTCAAACTTTACAGGAATCTGTAAGGCGCCTCCATAATTCAGAGAACAACCCACACAAATACGTTCCACAAACCAGGTAAGACTGTTTCTTATATACTATAGCCTAAATGTTAGTTTAATCTACTACTCTATGGATTTGGAATGCCAAAAGTGAATTTCAGCAATGATACCTGCAACTTTCCCCCCCAGAATAAATTCATCACATAACCTGGCTGTGACCACTTACCTCTTCGAAGAATTAAGGTCAACTTTTACAGAAGTTGACCCTGAATGTGTAAAAGGTAATCTTAAAGATGTTGTAATCATTTTATTGTCCTCTGTTTTACTTATTTTTATTGCCATTACATTTATTTATGATATATTTAGCAGGTTGGAAGATGTATTTTGAGACTTTGCGGAGGAAGTATTCTTTGGCTCAGCCTGAAAAGGCCCAGAAAAGAAAAACTATGACAAGCATTGCAAAGAACCTTCAAAGAAAGCGACTGGTAAGTTAAGAAACTGGTTAAGCACTTTTTTTTCTCTTCAGAATGTAACTATCCTCCTCTCTGTGTTTTAGTGGTTAAGTTACTGTCATGTTTTTCAGTTGCTGGAGACCAGGTCCGGGGTTGTACAAACCAACACAGAAAAGGAACTTTGGAAGACCGCAACAATAGAACTGATGTCTGATGAAGATGATGCTATTGTTGATGGAAGGCCAGTGTGAATGGTGAGGTCTCCACCAATCTGCTCTCTGCTAGGTACTATAAAACAGACTAGAGGCTGACCCACACTATGCGTCACACCACCAGCGTATCATGGCAGTTTGAAAAATGTTAACTCGTAAAAAAAAAAAAATGTGTGTGTATATATATATATATATATATATATATATAACCGTTCAAAAGTTTGGGGGTCGGTAAGATATTTTTTTTTTGGTTTGGGGGGGATAGCTCAAATTAACTCAATACTTTTATTCAGCAAGGATGCATTAAATGAATCAAACGTGATAGTAAAGACATTTATAATGTTACAAAACATCATATTTCAAATAAATGAAATATAACTTTCTATTGATCAAATAATCCTAAAAAGTCTACAACTGTTTTCAACTTTGGTAATAATAATGAATATTTATTGAGCATCAAATCATCACATTAGAATGATTTCTGAAGGATCATGTGACACTGAAGACTGGAGTAATGATGCTAAAAATTCATCTTTGATCACAAGAATAATGTATTCCAATAGAAACGTTTATTTTAAATTGTCATAATATTTAACAATATTACTCTTACTTTTTTTGTATTTTTTATATATAAAAAAAAAGCAGCCTTGGCGAGCATATGAGACTTCTTACCGATCCCAAACTTATAAACGGCAGTGTACACCTTGAATATTTTATATACACTTTAATTTCTTATTTATTTTTCTCGTATTATTTCATATATTTGTTCCTTTTTTTTTGTTGTCCATGTTGCTTATCTCCATTTTGTTTACTTGTTTGCATTTTAATGTATGTTTATAATGCACTCTCTGTAATGTTCTATTTATTTATATTGTTTACTTGGAATATCTACGTATATTTTTATATATATATATATATATATATATATATATATATATATATGAAGAGTTCAGATGCAAAAGCCTCTAAATGCCATTTGAAATTTTCTCCTTTAATGATGATTTTTATCAAACTTGTATATTTAAGTTTAGTAATTTCACTTAAATAACAATTAATAGGCAATTATCATTGCCATTTAAGAGAAATTACTGAACTTAAATATACAAGTTTGATAAAAATCATCATTAAAGGAGAAAATTTCAAATGGAACTCTTCATATATTTTATATATATATATATATGTAACTTTTTATATACACTGTGTACTTTATTCCTTTACATCTGTCCTTTAAAATGATTGGGTAAAAAAAATTAACGAAAATAAAAAGTTAACAATTTATTTAATGTATGTTTATAATTTTCTTTGGAATGTCCATGATTTTTTTTTCTTCCTTTGAGATGTTATTACTTCATACTTTTTTTCTAGTTTTTGTTCCCAATTCCTCTGTAATGCTTGTTTATAATGCTATTTGGAATGTGTTATATACCTTAATAAAAATTTCAGACTTTCCCATTGTTCTTTGTGTGTTTAAATATAAATATAAATATATATAAATATATGTATATATCAAATTTATTTTAATGAATATATTAAAATTGGGGGAGGGAGGTTTGGTATATATTTGAGCAATATCTGCATAGCTGGTATATAACCAATCAAATCAGTATGCTACAAGGCCTAGGGTGGGCTATGTTTAAAAGTAACCAATAAAGTCCGTTTACTGGGTTTTCAATGTGTCCTGCCCTCCAATAGTGGTCTGGGTGTTGGGAGTGGCTTTAAAAGAACAACCAATCCAGTTTGGTTGGAAGGCAAAAAGGTGTGAATGTTTCCTGCAAAAAGGTGTGATTTTTTCCTGCTAAAAACTTTAATGGGATTACTTGCCATGGCAACAAATGGCTCTAGCACGGAAGTATACGTCCACAACATACATCCGATTTGGTATCATTCCGGATGTATGCGGATATATACAAACCCATGGAATTTGACATATCCGGCCACTATACTCCTGGATTCTTCCGAATTTCAGCAGTGTATACAGGAGTATACTGGTCCGGATACACCTATTTTCATGCAGTGTGGAAGAAATACAGCATGTAGGGTAAGGGTTTCATGGAGTTTATCATGCCCTATAATGGAAAGAGCACAATACTCGCCTCGCCCATTGTACCAGCATTAACACTGATGGGAAGAGATTTGGGATACGTTCTCAGACTGCAGGTAAATGTGGCCCCAAATCCGCACATGTGACTCTCATCTGTTTGTGTCATGACGGTGTGAAGTCGTGATCTTTTATGTGGAATCTTCCATATGTGGTCCTAAATCTGATACAGGTCAGATGTTTTACAGTACGACCACAGTTTGAACAGTCATATCGGAATTAATGCAACTTTTACGCCACTCTAGATCGACATTAGTCACAATTCTGAGCTCATGGGAGTCACATACTCGAAGTTATCAAGACTGTTGCTAAAAGTAGCCAGTGAAGAACAGTGATGTGTCAGAGCTCATAAGTATTATATAACGGCTCTATATACAAGCAATATTGCCTGCGCATAAATCCACTGGCTGGCTTCCACGGCAAGTCACACTATTAATAAACGGATTATCACTTACTTTAATATTCTCCATGTTTACTTCCATATGACAGCATGCTGTGTGACAATCGTTTTTTCTTTTTTTTTTTGCGCGTATGGTTCAGTTCAGGATCACGATCTGTTCACACGGGAATCTGATATTGGACTCATTTAAAACAACAATGTGAACACCTATCCAAAATCGGATCTGAGCAATAAATCGGAATTGAGCGCTAAGACTTGCAGTGTGACTTGCAGTGTGAACGTAGCCAAGGCACTCATTGAGCATATCATATTAGGCCACTGAAGCTGCAGTTTTGTTGCATTCATTCTTGGTGTTCTAGCTGTGCTGGTGTTGAGTCCTCAGTAACATTGTGTCATTTCTTAGCCATTTACGGCACTATGCAGCAAGAACTGTCACCTCTCATCTCACAGCCCGCTGCTTACACTACATTTGATACTAATTACTGATGTAGAAGTGTTATTTTTATAATTAGATGATATATTAGCAGACATAACTAGCAAATATAGAGGCAAATATATGTTTTCATTTTTTTTTTTTTTTGAGTTTTGCCTTGCACACTGTAAAGAGTAAATAGCATGTGTGCATGACACCGTAGCATTTCTGTGGCCAGACAGTCTGGCGTCGAGTCACGTTATGGCTTCACACAGGTCAGTGGGTTGGTTTTTCCAACCAATTCTGCGAAGTAATGACATAGTTGATGAATGCATAGATAGATATAATAGATTTACATTCAATCTGAGAAATACTAATCAAATGTTTGTGGTTATTTTGTTAAAGGGATATATACAATATAAACGTTGTTTTTACTGAACAGATCCTTTAAAACAAAGTAGATACGAAAAATTAAATATATATGTGATGTATATTTTTATATATAGCACATCAAGCTATTTTGTGGTAACACAGGTAACTTTGTGGGTTTAATAAATTTGAATTGCATATTTCACACACTGTTGATCATTTGCCATCAGCTCTGATAGTATTTCATACAGTAGTTGGTGCTTTTATATTCTCTTGGAGTCTACCGCACATGTATTTATCATGTCCTTCTCTGTTAATAATATACAGCATTATCACATAAGGATTTTTGTGCATGTTGCAGAAGATTGTCAAGAACATTGCCCGACAACGAGGCAATGTTTGGGATACTAACTATTTTTTTTTTACATCAGGGAAGACCGATAAAAAAATTGAAATGAGGAACTCTTGACTGCAAAATCACATTTTAGCCATCTCAACCAAAGATAATATGTTACATATTTTCCAGATTCTTTTAAACAGCATATAGTTAATGCATTTACACTTTACTCAGTGCTTCCTTTTTTTAATATAAAACAATGTGATATACTCTTCATGGTTCTACAGTAAAACAGACACTTTATTTATGCGATAATCAATTTAGTATTTTTTTCATTCAAGGCCAAATTGTTAATATCAGTATTGGTCAGAAAGGATTACTGTTTGTGATTTAGTCTGATCTTGTATCACTTCTGCTAATTTTTAGAATCAAAAATATGAATTTGGCAATTTTTCTCACCTTAGATTATCATCCCTCTTGTTGTCATCATCTCTGTAGCACAGATATGTTATATGAGCGCAAGAAAACTCGTTTCACCCCTGGACATTGTCCTGTGCATCCCTCCCCCTGACATGTCAATAACAGCCCTGATGAAAACATGTAAATATTTCCTCATATTGTAATATTATTTACATATTCAATAATTTTGTTTTTACACACGCAAAAATATCTATTTTGAAGTTGTAACCACTGTGAATAGACCAAAGCAAATTAACGTTTAACCTTTTTTTCCCTAGTGTATGTGCTTGTGTGTGTTTCCTTTGTCAATCTGTAGTAGCCTATTTTTAGTTATGTATGTATATTTTCATGTTGTATATTTCTTGTAAAAATGTGTTTTTAATTAAAGTCACCTCATGCCTAAGTATGGTGTTGTTTCAAATTTGCCTATAGGTTTTACTGACAAGTGAACAATTTTATTTAAAAAAAAAAAAAGAAAAGATTTTTTGAAAAACATTCACCATGGCTTTATTAAACATGGTAACTAAACCCTAAACCAACTTTTTTTAGTTAATGATCTTTAAGAATGGGGCTTTATTAGTGCTGATCATTGATTCGAGTAACTTTTTTGAGTTTGGGTATAAAGTATTTTAGATTTTAATTCTACAATATACGTAAAAACGTCTGAGTGCTGCCCTCTTCAATTTGAACGGTGGCTACTTGCAGTTGAATTTTCCTAATGGATGTTTGCGATTCTTCGTGACCGAAGCGGGGAGAGCTGATTATTTTAATATCCTGATTTTCGTTGGAAACTCCATGCTTCTGTTCTGTCATTCTGTGCGTGTTTGCATCATATCCATAAATAAAGGAAAGCAGGACACGATAGTTTTTTCGACTTGAACGGGCACTGCACAGACTGATCGGTGAATAACGTCAACATACCGCGAGAGCGATTAGAGATCCCGTATGCTTTTCCATCGCTCGCATACTTTGATGTCATAAGCTGATCGTTCCGTGCAGCGCGTGTTCAAGTCTAACAAGTTCAAGTTCTCGCGCATGAGTTCTGGAAATTTCTTCGACTCTCGTCTCAAGGCCCACAAGGAAGTAATGGAATAGTCGAATAAAGTCGTTATGGGTTTTTTCTTGGCCGTCAAGTTCCAATCCTTTAGGAGCCTATAGCAGTGATCCACGTCTCAGATTTAATCAAAAATATCTTCATTTGTGTTCCGAAGACAAACGAAGGTCTTACGGGGTTCAGTTGATACAGCATGGGTGAGTAGTGACTTCATTTTCATTTTTGGTGAACTAACCCTTTAATTCAATGGTTAGAATTGCGTTTGTAATGTTATTTTAAATATTGTTTTTAACAAGTCAGTTAGCCTAACACGTTACCTGTACGTAATACTTTAAATACTTACCTGTTTATTAGACATTTTTCGTATCCGTCTTTCGTTATTTCAATTCACTTAAATCACCGAAACAATCCATGTGGTTTTTGCTGTTCACACACTGTCATGTCAATACTGTCATGTGAAATAAAATAAAAAGTGTGGCCCACATTTACCTGCAGTTTAAATGTAGCCAAGTAGCTTTAGTAATTTGTGCATTATCAGTAGAGGTCAGAATCAGAGTAAAAAGAGCTTACATGGTGAAAACAGGCAATATTTCACTTTTTTATTTATATTCACACAATGCCTTTTGTAATAAAACGAATTGCAAAAAAATGCAGACCAGATGCTTTTTATATGCTTACAGAGTAAAACGTTCAGTATATAACACTGATCCTACAATCATCAAAACGTTTATATTTCAATTGCACAGTCCATATGTGCAGCATTAAGGCACAAATATAAAAAATGCAAGTGTACACATGAATTGCCAAAAATAGACTTGAACTTGCACAGGATAAAATGAGAACGGGGTCTTCATTTGTAATAATCCCCCAGACATTCACTAAACCAAACCAGCAATTTAAAAGAAAAAAAGACCTAATCTCAATCTCAATCCATGCTGCGATCGTGTGTAATCTCTTTCAGGCATGACTGTAGTAGAGACTGTAGCCCGGATGGATAGTGATATGATTTATGATTACCAGCATGTCATGCCAGTGTGCTCAGGCTTAAACCGCAACCAAAAATAGAAACCCACAATATCCCATGTTTATACAGGGTTTCGGATCCTTTAAATGTGAAAGTGTTGTGACTGATTTATTAGAATTCCTGAAAACAGAATAGATCCGAATTAGAAAAGGGACAGGAAATAGGAATAGGAAGGGAAAATGTCAGCATTGTGAATGGCCAATAGCACTCTGTGGAAGCCCATTGTTGAATTCTTTCTCAGGGGTTTGCCTCAAACCCCACTGCACATGATGCCACGATTTCTCGTCCAAACCATGCATGCACCGTCTGTTTATACCCAGCAGCATGAAGGCCCCAATATACTTCTAGCAAAATCAAAGACTGGTGGACTGGTGTGACGTAATTTCAAACAAAATCAGGCCGAAAACTAAGTTTGTTTAGATTTTGTTTCTGGATTTTGAAACTGCTTGCCAAAGTGAACTTAGCTTTGGCTGGTAAACGCCTTCCAACTACCATTGGTCCATGGCGATTAAGTAATAGGTAGGTGTGGCTCTATGGCTCCACCTTCTTTGACATGGAAGTCTGGTCCAGTTCTTCTGTTCAGTGACAGTTCGACCGTCAAGTGACTTTATAGTAGAAATTGAAGTTGTAATTCTAACTGAAAGTAACACCTTCCGTGTTTAATACTGTAAAGCAATCTATTGTATAAAGTGCTATAAATAAATGTGACTAAACTGGAGTGCCGAATTGCAGAGCTGAATCAAACGTATTAAGAGGGAAGCGTGCAGCTTATTCATCAAACTTCGCAACATATTTATCTAAAAGCTGTTTCCAGCAGCCGCTACAAAGGGCAATTCTTTTTCCCACCGAGTGAAGAATGAAAAAGACCTTGCCGTGAGTATATCAGGGCCTTTAGCGCAAACTCATTTGGTATCAGGCTGCTTTCAGTCCGTCTCTTGGGTTCTTGGGAACTTTGACGATGAACTCCATGGGGTCTTTGGCCTTGTTACTGAAAGCCCTCCGAATGGCGTCCACCGCGTGCTGATGTGTGACACCTTTGAGGGACTCTCCATCTACTGACATCAGCTCGAATCCAGCCTGCAGAGAGAGAGCGAAAAGTTCAGATGTCCGAGTTGATCATTAATGCAGATGTCTGTTTTTCTGACACATCCCTGAGTATTCCTGGCAGAGTGCAGACAGAATGTCTGAATGGCAGGAAAAAGCAGATGCTGCAGGCACAGGATGCCTCTCATTTCCTTTGTTCTCCTTCGTTAATACCTGTGAATGATCTCATCTGGTCTGCTTCAGATAATGCGCGTACAGTATGTGTATGTGTCAAAGCCCTGCCAGTGAATGACATCAGCTTATTATACTTCAGAAATGGATGTTTTTCTCTCTAAATGTAACCACTGGCAGACCTGAAGGCTGAAGCACAGATGTTTGGGTCTCACTGGTCAAAAACACACGACATATCCATCAGCTCTTTTCTAAACTCATTCTCTTATCTCTGACACCGCTGACAGTATAAACAAAGGGAACAGTCAACTTGGAGTGAGCAGGACCAAATTATATACACCATTCTCTAGGTGTCCATAACCCAAAAGTTAATCACTCTCACAGACGCAGGAGTGTGTCTTTGGAATGATGTCTTTCCTGCCAGGAAAAAAGTACAAAGTGCAGCTGAGCTCACAAACGCAAGTTTAGTTCGTACTTCGTAGGCATATTTCCTTCTCAGTCACGATCTCTTACCAGGATGCACCTGTTTACTGAACTCTCTCTACACTCATCCTTAGAGGTTAGGGTCTGTTTTCATGCTCTCCATCAGTCAGATCAAACACTATTGTCTCCCTTTTTCTTCTCTGTGCATTCAAGCAAAAATAAAAATGGAAAACTTTCTTATTTGGGCTAAACTGATAAAGCTTTCAGTTAAGAGTGTACGCAGTGTTTACATATATTCCACAGATTTTCCATTAAAAATTCAATTTGGGATGTCCCACCACAAGGACAGAATATTGTAGAGTTTGTGTTGAAATAAACGTTGTTCTTAAAGGGATAGTTTGCGCAAAAATAAATAAAGGAATAGTTCGTCAAAAAATTCAATTCTCACCCTCATGTTGCTCTAAATCTCTATGACTTTCTTCTGTGAACAATGTATGGATAAAACAAATATCTTAAAATATCTTTCTTTGTGATTCACAGAAGTCGGTTTGGAATGACATGAAGGTGAGACAATTATGACAGAATTTTTATCATTTTTATTTTCATTCAGAATTTTAATAAAAAATCATTGCATTTGGTCTTGCTTTGTTCTAATATGTAATGCCCATTAATATATCATGTTCTAAAAGGATGTAAAATGGGCTGATACACACTAAAATTAAAGTATTCTTACAATATAACACACAATTGTACACAAAGATTATTCCAATTATGGTAAGTGAACCCAAATGTAGAAGAGAACTACTTAAGAAGCATTATATAGTATTTCAAAACATTACACTTGTTTTTGCCCCTTTATGGCCGTTAAAAGGCCAAAGATTTGTTTAAGCTGACATTCCCCTTCAAATAGCACTTAAATTAAGGAGACCGCAGGGACATCATCAGTCTTTTCTTTATGCCATCTGCCTTTTTGGCTAAAAACAAATCACCAAAGCATTCTATGGTTGTAGAGGACAAGCGGAGTCATTTATCAGTGGATAGCAGTGTACTTCACTGTATGTGTGAAGAGAAAGATGATGACTCAGGAAGAAGTAGAAATCAATGAGTCTCATTCACTAAGCATGTGTAGGCCTATGCATGAATTTGTGCATGAAATCTGTATGTACATTGTACATAAGCGTAATGTTCAGCTGGCTAATCAGAGGTCTGTAATGTCTGTATTAAAGGAGTTAATTGAGTTTTTAACTTGTTTTGAGAATGGCACTGTCGGCACTGCTCGAGGGTCTTGCTGAGCATGTTTCGAGAAGGCATCTTGAGTGTCATGTTTCTGTGGCGAAAGAAAAGTGTGTGCAAAATGCCCTTAATATGGACATGGTTTGCGCGTGTTTTATGTAAATGACTTACCTCGGCACTCGCTCATTTTGAATACTCTGAATTCATCAACATTTGAACGAGGTTAAGAACAAATTTATGAAAAGTTCACGTGTTTTCGTGAGAAGTTCAAATGTGCATATAAATACGAACAGTTTTTATCACAGTACAGTACAATTATTAGTGAATGAGAGCCATTGCGTTTAGAAAACCCACAGCTGAATAGAAACAGATTTTGAGAGCTTGCTTATAGCTTTTGAAAATGGTAGCTTGGTTAAAATAATGAAACCGTCTTTTGGCTGTTGATCTTTAAATTCAAATTGGCCATTTTGAATTTTGATGCAAAATACTGTAACATTATGGTGCATGCTCACTTTATTAACTTTTTAAAAGCAATCACTTTATGAGCCAAGCTTAAACCATATGGACAGTACGGATGACAACGTTGTCAAAAGATACCTGTTCACATGGGTCCACGAAAATGCTATGCTGCCAGGCCAGTAGTTGGCGATGTCACTTTGTAAAAAAGCACTACCCGTCTATAGACTGAACTGAACACAGTCACAGTTTAATTGAAAACTGTGTCATGTAAACGGCCCTAGAAGCAGCCTTAACAAGCATAAACAAAACACGATGCCTCCTAAACTGTAATAACTCTTTGGTCAGAACAGCGGATAACAAACACGTGAGACTCAGTCATTTACCGTACACACATGGAACGATAATTTAGGGGACTCACTCCCGCATTTAAATGCGATTGTCAATAATGAAACTTTAGAGTGTGTACATGGCCTTAGTCTTAGCAACCACAGAGCATCACCCTAGCAACAGCACAGAATCCTCTAGCAACCATAGAGTAATGTGATAAACAACAACACTTAGAACATCTTAGCAACCAACAAGCATTATCCTAGCAACACTCTAGCCTAGCCATGCCTTAGAAAATACTGGGAAGGTTGTCAAGCTACCTCATGGTGGCAAGTTTTGCATAGGCAAAATGTTGAAATGTAGTAATTAAACTGTCCTCTGTATTTATAAGCTGAAGAGTGACTGCTAAGATGAAGACAACAGACTATAATCAAGATGAAAAAGTGCTGGACTAATTACACATGAGCTGAATGAGCAGACTCTGTGGAGCCCCAACACATACACAATACCTGACCTCCGCCTGCCATGCGTGTCAACAACGTTTGATAAGAGGAACGTGACTGCAGACGATGTGTGATAGAAACCTGACCTCCATGCCACTGGAGCATACTTGCTGCTCAGATATTTCAGTTATCAGTTAGACAACAGGAACAGGAAGTATGTCAACAGGGCGCTCCACACTTTCCTCTGCAGGCCTGATAATCTGGAGAGCTCATTAAAGATAGTCGCTCAGAAGAGCCTCTCGCGGCTTCAGGGTGTGACAACAAGTGAATTGAGTGGAATGTGAATTAGCCAGTCTTTGGAATGAATGGGAATACCCACTAGTCTTTCACACCAAGCCCAGATGGAGGCCAGAGATGAGTGGATGTTCTTGGCAACTGAAAGGTTTTGAGCCTGACACCAGATCTCCTGAGTGTGGCAACACAAGCCTCTCAGAGCAGGCCAGGGAAGTGCTGTCACCTGATAGACTGTGATCTACAAAGATACGTCTTCCTTTGACAAATACACAAACACACACACACATGGGATTCCAGGGTTTTAACCTTGCCTGCGAGGTCACAGAGGTGCCAGTGGTATTGTGCCCTCGCCTACTTTGACCTTTATCCCTTATTCTGCCTCACTTAGTACAGATGCAATGCAACCTGGATGTTGTTTAGTAGGGATGTGGGAAAGCCTAATTCCAAATTCGGTAAGGCACGGAAGATGAATAACGCATTTAGTCCCTAAAGGGACATGGTTAGGCTTGATGGGTAGTCGGCTACATTACAGCACATCAGATTTCACTTATCACATGAAGATGGTAATGAGAGATGACTGACAGGAGGATGTTGGAGGTACAGATCCTGATTGTGTCATTAAGCGAAGCACAAAATACAAGACTGAAGATTGTTTAGAGTAGACCATGCTGTATTCGAGACCAGCTCACTCAAGTCTGAGTCAAGACCAGTGGAAAGAAGAAGGTTGTGTCCAAATCAAGACAGAGTCCATGTGCTGCCGAGTCTGAGTCAAAGATCTTATTTTCATGGTCTTGGTTTTCTAGTGGACTTGGAAACATGTGAACTTGATCCTCTTCTGGTATTGGCGTTAAGTCAGCCTCAACCCTTTCCTTGTCTAAATCTCAAATAAGCTGGTCTCGACTACAACACTGAGGCTATATGAGGTGGAGTTACCTTCAGAACATCACTGGTAGAGGCTGCTCCTCCTGGAAAGATCTTCTCTATCTTCACCATTGGCTGTACCTTTGACTCAATGCCACCTGAGATGCTTATTCCTGCACACAAAAAAAAGAATAGAAATCATCTAGCTATACAAATTAAGAACATGCGTTAAACTAAACGTTGTATTACCAATCCATCTACATATTAGATGTTCTTGTATTGTTTATACTGTTCACTTTGATGCATGTAAAAAATAACTGATCTTATGATTGTTCCATTAGAGTAACAAATTCTGATTCCAGTTCAAACTAAACAGATGCCTGCCAGCTAAACAACTGTCATTGAGATTAATGGAAATTATAATGTTTAGTTTTCTCCAAAATTATATGTAATATACTGTACTGTCTTAAAAAGGGAGCGCACTGTATGCTTACTGTTTGCAGTGGGCAATTCACTGCCATCTTCTGGCGAGGAGAGAAGAGGAACTGAGGGAGAATCTCTTCTTTAATACTAATTTATGAGTGATTATAAAAACTTCTTTATTTCCACAAAGAATATTTAATTCTGTCTGAGTACACTAAGGCATTGTGTGTCAAGAATGAATCACATGCTTAGCAAATCAACTGTATTAATAGGCTTTAGTCATGTTATTACTCAGAATTAGAGATCTCAACAAACCACTAACCCTAAGTATTTATCACTTATACATAACTCATCCAGCACCGTTTATGTTACCGACATAAATTACATCTAAAATTGGCTTTCTGGGAAGGGATTCATTTTCTAAGTGATCAAACTTATAATTTATGCCTGCTGAATGATAAAAGTGTCATGACTCATAATAAAGGAAGGACTCTCAAACTATCTCTATAGATCAGAATATAACAGAGACTTGAGAGGAAGTTGAGCCAGTAAGAAACCACCTAGCAACCACACAGAACACCATATAAACCGCATAACAATAACAAAACATAACAAAAAACCAAACTTGGCATCCACCAAATCATCAAACATATGCATGGACAAACTGCATTAACATTTTCCAACAAATATTAGTTAATTTGAGAAACATTTCCATACGATGCAGTGCATCCAAGTAACTCACCCAGGGACTGCTTGGTCTTAGAGATGGAAACCTTGGTTAGTTCATACTCCTGCTCTGGTTGGCTTTCTGAGTGCCCATTGACTGGTTCTTTCCAGTCCTGATCTGTGCTGGGCGTAAACACCTGGGTCAATGGTGTCCTGCTTCGGTGACGTGCACTCATTACGGTATATTTGACCTCTTTACCATTCTGAGATTTGTCTGTTTTCGTTCTATGTCCGTTCCTGTAAGGGGATCTCCCTCGCTCTGGGACAGAATCACCCCTGCTGGATAAAGAGTCATGGTGTGATGTCTGGGGAAAACTATTGTCTCTTCTCTGGGGGGAGCGTCCATGGCGTTCTGTGCTGTGAGAGGACTCTGACTGCGGCCATCCGGATCGAGCAGGACTCAAGGAGCGATTACGAAGCGAGTCTGTGATGTAGGTGTCCACCGGTACATCCAAGAGAGGTGTGAAAGCCCGAGGAGGAGGAAGTCGTCCAGTCGGTAATCCAGCCAAACGCAGTCGTTCCATATCTTCAATGAGCTGCCGTTCTCTCTCCAGATCCTGCACTGGCTGAAGGTGGAATCCACCCCTGTAATCTATGAGAAGAAACAAGAGGTAAAAAAATTTCCCATACTCTCTTACACAAGTTACAAATACTGTACACTGTAAAAAAAATATTGTTGGTTTAACTTAAAAAAAGTAAGTAACCTGGTTGCCTTAAAATTTTAAGTTCATTAAACTGGAAAAAGTGAGTTAATACAATGAAGGAGATTAATTTAATCATCAGAAACTCAAAATTATATGTTATCTGAACTAAATAAATTATATAAGTTGATTTGACAAAAGAAAAAATGTTGTGATTACTACACTGTAAAAAATATTGTTGGTTTAACTTAAAAAAGTAAGTAACCTGGGTTGCCTTAAAATTTTTAAGTTGATTGAACTGGAAAAAGGGAGTTAATACAATGAAGGAGATTAATTTAATCATCAGAAACTCAAAATAATAAGTTATCTAACTAAATAATTTATTAACTAAATAAATTACTATAACGTTGATTTGACAAAAGAAAATATGTTGTGATAACAAATCTTGAAAATATTTTTTTACAGTGTAATGGCATCAGATGGCAAAAGTAAAACCTTGGTATCTGTCAGCCCCAAAACATATTTGGATATTTTATGGTAGCACCACAGACACAGGCAAATTTATAGATATATACATACAATCGGGAATTCAGAATCAAGGAATTCATCACGTTCACACACAAGATCCTCCTCCCACAAACATTGTGTACAAGTGGTTCAGCAACATTCAAATTCATTTACATCTACTTAAATCAGTGCAGATGTTACAAAACCTCAAATACACCCTTTCCCTTTCATCCAGAAATGTGAGCGACGATCACACATTCATATCCATTGAGTAAGCAGTGGTGTGGCGTTGCGTACATGCACATCTCGCTCAGATTTCAGGGGCCTCTAGCGCAGAGAGGTTTGAATTACTCCTCTGTGGACGGTACAAAGGGGCTGCATTAAGCTTCAGACCTGCGTGGGTGGACGCTTGAAGGTTAAACAATGCAAGGCGCCTTTCTTGCATTTCAGAAACGACTTCCATTCAAAAGTCAGAGGCACATGCAGTCCGACACTGCGCACAATCACAGCCGGTACTGTGCGCTCCTGGGTTAGAGGTCAGGAGGTCATGCAGTGTCAGCAGCAGCAGAAAGAAACAGGCAGGCTATGTGGAAATAAGACGCAGCTTATCTTCTTTTGGCATTGATGCATGTTGATGACACAAATGATGCATTGGTGTCCCAAATGGCAGCTTACAATGATGAAAACTTCATATTCCTTATCAAAAAAAGTGATGGTAGGTTACAGTAACAAGGGCTGAGAGGGATTGTGTGTGTTTTTGGGTGCGGATTAAATATCAGCAACAGGAAATTTGTAGTATGAGAATGATTTTCAGGATATGAAATGGCTGGTGCAGAGGAGAGTTTGTGTCTTCTGGTTAAGTCATTTCCTATGGGGATCAATCTAAACATGACTCAGCACTGAAAACAGTGAAAACAAGCAAGAGAAGAAAGAATTTGACCTTTTAGTTCACACTAGCAGGGATGTTACCTGGGATGGGCGTTATTAGATGGCGACGGGGTGTTCCACCATGACGAGGAGATCTCAGGACAGGAGACCTCACTGAAAAAAAACAAGATATATATTATATGATATGTTAATATACAGTAAAACTTTAAATGCTTGACACATATACAGTTGTATATGGAAAACATCAATAATACAGTATAAGTAGGTATCTAAACTTTGACTGCAAGTGTATATGTACTAAAATGTGGCAGCTAAAATGTACAAAGCTAAAGTTTCAAGTGAAAGGTTTTCTTACCAGAACGGCTTTTCAGTATGTCATAGGCTTCAAGCTCAAATGGCAAAACCATACTGTCAAAACGGCCCTGATCTGTGGGAGGGATGATCATTCTGCACAAAAGAAAGTTATATTAGATGCAAACATTGCTCACAAAGCAAGAGATGTGGTGTAAACACATGTGGCAGGAGTTATGCGAGTGAAGTATTAAATAAGCTGACATGTAACACTCCTCACCTGATCTCCCTCAGCAGCAGAAGCTTCTCAGGCTTGTCCAAGATGGCCAGCAGGGGGCGCACCAGATCCTCAACCACACGCTCAACTAGAAACTAAAGAACAGGTAGAGGAGATGCCCTAGTTACATTGTGAACTTTTGGAGCCAAGCGATTTAGATAATGTTTACCAATCACGAGCACTGGGATCAGACAGTCTCACTAAATATGTCTTATTGGGGCTAATTTAGGGCTCACACGCTATCAATAAAATACTACACAGCATTTTTAATGTTGGAGTGACCAAGTGTGGCACTGTTAAGTTAATAGAGCTTGGATGATCTAAATCATAAATGACGAGGCAAATTCCCATTTCATAAGCATGACCAGCAGCCACATTGATTTGCCAGAAACATTTGTAATATGGATAAAGTATCTGTATTAAGTTATAAATGAGACGTTTTCCAACTCTTTTAGCTGACTCACCCTTTTACAGTGTCTCATGACAGCGGCCACCTCATCCTCATTGAGAAGCTTGCGAGCCATGTCCTCCAACATGGCCATGGTCTCCGGGCTGAGGAAGGCGCTGTGCTCCCTCATCCCAGCACGAGTCTCTCTGGGAGAACTCAACAGGTTAATTATAGGTCGACCTCGCTCTTTACCTGAGGACACAAGTGCTAGAGTCAGTCCGCAAGCTCGGACCGCGAGTAAAGGTCTTATTTGCATAATAAAAAAATAATTCTGTCTGATCTTATTAGCTGCCTTCATAAACATAACAGTAGTTAAAAAAGCCATTTTATGGAACCAACTGCAAATATTTAAGTGTTACGTTAACACTTGGGTATGGTATAAGGTATGTTAACAAGTGCTATGCTTTGTTACTATGTGCTTTGAATTGACAAATCTGAGTGTCTGGAGTTTTCTATGCGTTTTTAAGTCATTCTGTGTGTGTTGTGAAGTAGTCAGACACTGTATGAGGACAGCAATGCAATCCATCATTAGCTGAGCAAAACCACAGGAGTCAACTCAAGGCCACTCCAAGGAAATTAATGCAGATCCGTGTACAGTAATGCAGCCTCTTTAAAAACGTATTATACTGCTTTCTGGCTTTTCGATTGCAAATATCCATCTCTGCCCTCGGCCTCAGCTATTCCTCGGCTATGGTATCCACAGAACGTGGTCCTCATCAAAGTCTGTTAAACCATATGTGGACTCACCCGGTTCGTTATCTAAATGTTTCGGAGATTTGGATCTTCCTCTGTGTCCGTCCCCTGTGCCGGTGTCCTTCCTGTCTCTAGAAGATGACCTTTCCCTCCTGCGTCCACTCTTAAAGAGCAAGCTGACAAAGGTTTTGGAGCGCTGCAGGGTGCTTCCCTCCTTGTCAACCTTGTCCTTCTGATGTTTCCTTTTCTTCTGCTTGTCCTCTGATTCACATTCAAACAGAAACGTGTAAAAAAATACTTCTAGGCAAAGTTCTGAATTTAACCGTATGAAATAAATAAACAAACATATGGAAAGCACCAAAGTGATAAAATACATGTATTATAACTCAAAGTTCAAAGGAAAGGGAGATATTTGCTTTTAAAGAAATCGTTTTTTAAGGACTACTAGGAACTACACGAGCTTCTTCCATGGTGACATCACAAACCATAAAATTTGCATAAACCCCGCCCCCGCAGTCCATATTGAGAAGAGGAAGAGCAGTTTTTAGTCAAGCAGCTCAAACTGTAGCATCCGTCTTTTCACATGCAATAGCAAGTCACTGTCTGCATCTCACAACAGTTCCTATACAAGCAATTTATCAATTACTCTGACAGAATATGCTAATTGAAGATAGTTAACTCCACATCAGCAACTAACCATTCAGAGACGTCCTGTTGTATTCTACATGTTAGTCTCTCCATCTTTGTCTGACTCCGGTTTAAACATAAAAGGCAGAACAGTTTCTGACATTTTAGCACTTGTCTGCATGATGTAATCGGAGCTGCTGCTAACACACACACTCTTGAAGGGTGGAGTATCCCTTTAATAAGTTGTAAGAACAAATTTTTAATTTATTGCCACGTTATATTTTTTCTCGCATGTAATACCGAAATGTGCCATGCAAGTCATGCAAAAAAGTTAATGGTGCTAAAATAGGCTTTAGTTCTTATTTTCTTATTGAAATACGGCCTGGACATGTTTCAGTGCGAATCCCCCAAGAAGGTCCTGTTATGTGAATTTTACGATTGAATCTATTTGTTAAAGGCCACAAACCCTCCAGTCATTTATCTCAGTGTGAGGTATTAAGCCTGGCAAATAAAACAGGATGATATACACTTTGCTGTGTGGATTTTGAGCGTACATTTCTCATGGCATCAGATTCTTCAGTCTGAACCGTTAATCTTTCACGGGGAGATCCCATGCAGTAATGCTGATGTATTATGCATTCCACCAAGTTCATTTAAATTCAGAGGTACAATGGCAGCACACTGCTATATATTTGACAAACAGACGCAGCAGTGTGGCTCTAAAGGTCAATTGCTGGTTTTCGACAATGCATTTTCTATTCTGAGCAGTGCTTCCACAGCATGGTGTGTGTATCAAATAACCCAAGATCCTCATCACTGATCTGGTTGTGACCTTGGGCCCGGGCTCTACAACTGAGATATGAGTTACATCAGTGACACAAACGGAGGACGGCCTTGTGTGGCTCACCTCATTTTGATTCACAGCCTCTTTTGTTATCTCTTCAAAACAGCCTTACTATACCTGACACAGTGATGTGACTCTGGGATCTGCGGATGGGTTTCCGAGGCTTGCTGAGAGCCATCAGGACTGCTGTTTTAGGGGATTCCAGAGTCTCTTTGTCCCCAGCAGAGAAGGTCCTTGTCCCACTCCGAATCGCGGTGTCTTTCAACAAGACGGTTTCGCCTACTGTTCGGCTGGTTTCTGTGGTTATGACCCTACTAGATCTTGATGTCGTGTCAAACTCCTGTGGGTCAGTCTGCATGGCAGTCTCTATCCGTTCAGAGCTAGCCCTGCGCGAGCGGTCCTCAGTGGAGATACAGACATCCACCATCTCTGAGCCGAATACTGGAGGGAACATGACTTGCGAGAGGCCGCTGAGAGAGCTGACCGGCGTTCCGGAAGAGAGAGAGGAAGTGGATGAGTAGGAGTCTGAACCCTGGGAGGAAGAGGGCTGCCCTCCATTAGACACTAAGAGGGAAAAAGAGAGACTTTCATGGGATATTTGTAGAGACTGGAAATCTGTTGTCCACATTACACTTGAGAACATAGATGTACATTACAGTACAACACCTGTCATGCCCATTCAGCACACTCAGATTTTGAAACAGCTTCCATATATCTTCAATGCAAACACAATTATTTGTATCTTTGATAATTGAGTTACACAGTCATTTATGGGAAAAAATGGCCTGTATTAGCCAGGGAAAACCCAGACAACTTACAGGAAATTTAGATTTGCTCTGAAAGTTAGTCTGGCAAAGAGCTCATTCAAGCCCATTTCCAATCCGTCAAAAACGTTGGGGCGGGCTTTTCACGATGACAACTTCGCTGGGACTTTGAAGTAGATTTTGTAGCCTACATTACAAAGATGGATGCCGCCGTCGAACATCACTCGTTCGAATCAGCTATCGCGTCTTTAAGAGATTTAAACATTTCCTTTTTGTTAAAAACCGAGCAAAGAACAACAAAGAACCGCTCTGCATACCATACGTCATCTCCTTCATCTCTCTGATTGGTTTTAGGTCTACCCGCGACGTCTGTTGGTGACGCCCATCTAAAAATGATTTGTCTATGACGCTTTGCCAAACCATAACTCCGTTACAACTGAGAATGGTCTGGTTTTAACCAGGCTAGGCCTGTATAAAAAGCTGTGAAAATCATCAAAATGACCATCTGACATATATAACAATGAACCACTAAGTTTTTTTTTTCTTTTATCTATCTCACCCTAAACCGAAAAAAGGTAACATACTGTACATATTCAATTACTTAACATCATTTAATCTACCTAAATACATTGATTTATAACAACAAAATACATTTTATGTGTTAAATCAGGTAGAAAGAGTTCTTTAAGGTAACAATCGCAACCACTTTTTACATTGTGCAGGGCACCGAATGGGTGGTACCCCTTATAATAAAAATACATCAATAAATAAAAGCATAACAAAATAAGCAACAGACATAAAGTCTAAAAGCCTCATAAATATTAAAGAATGTCCTAATGCACTTTTGCATATGAATGAACACTATATCAATGTCACTAGCGTTAAATATGGAGCAGAATGACATGAGCATCTCTCTGTCCTGCAACCTAAATACCCCTGAATCACCCTGACGCTACAAACAAGCACAATCCCAGCTGACTTATCCAAATGTGAACATTACGGTCTAATCCGTGGCTATTTTCATACACCGCTCATATTAAATGAAAAACGGAGATGAAAAATCTGGCTTGACATGTGGCCGCTTGGTGTTCAGCTTTAATCTGGATCAGTTTAATTAAAAGTACAAATGAGTGGGTCACACAAATCATGCAACATGTCCTTTAATATATGTAACATACAGTAATTAATTAGATATAAAATAGTAAGGTTTGGGGGGTGAAGTTTACATACATTTATTAAGCCAACTGTACTCCGCCACCATCTCCTTGTAAGCAGGATATCGGCCAGCCTCCTAAGACAGGATATTACACAAGACATAATCACAGTCAGAAAGGGATATACAGCCTTAATTACATGCATACAAGTTCAAATGTCCTGTGTTGGATATAATTCATTGTGCAAATTACATGCAAAGTATAAACAGCCTAAAAAAATACTTAAAACAGCATTTTCCACTAGGAGGATATGACCTCATTTTTGATGCCCAAGGTGTACGCTGACCTCACTATGGGTCACAATAAGTTTGCTCCTCTACAAACATAAACAAACTTGAACGCCATTAAGATGATGGTAGGTGGCAGACTCATCTGCCTTGTAGCAAAATAAGTCACTGTGAGGACAGAAATCATACAGGAGCTGGATTCACAAAGTTTAAAACTCATCCCTTTTTCCCTTTGTGTTGATCCTTGTCAGACATTTTCACACATCGTCACTTAATTTACCACCAGAAGAGCTCACGCTTACCACCACGAAGTGACATTAATAGCTAACAAAGCAGGCATTTAGCAGCCCTATGTTCTTATAGCGCCGCTGCAGGTTTAATAGAGCCTTGCCATTGGGGCAATGAGAAAAGGCCATAAAACAAGGCTTTTTGCTGATTATAACTTGATCCCTAAGGCCTGGTGAATAATGCACACCTGCTGGCTGTTTTTCACAGGTGGAACCCGAGCTCTGCCTGAGTAAAGCGAGCAACCAGGAATGTGACGGCTAAATGCCAGCTGTCTGCTTTGCTATGCTTTCTCACTCCCAGACGCAATAAGAGGATGTGTTGTTTAACATGCTGTGGAGGCAATTAATATGCCAAAGCACTCTGGAAATCATTTGTCTTAATGAATCTATTTATACATAAAAAAAAAACGTTAAATACATTCAAAACAATGTTTTTTGCTCACTAGATTAATTTGATGGAGACTACAGTAAATACAGTAATGTGAAATTATTATTACAATTTAAAATAATGGTAACAGAATTTATTCATGTGATGACCAAGGTGAAGTTTCAGCGGTCTTCAGTGTCACATGATCCTTCAGAAATAATTTTAATATGCTGATTTGCTGCTCAAGTAACATTTATTATTAATTATTATTGTTAATGTTGGAAACAGTTGTGCTGCTTAATATATTGTAGAATGTTCAGGATTCATGAAATAATAATATAAAAGTCTTTACTGTCACTTTTTATCAATTCAATGCATTATCAATTAAAAAAATAAGTAAAAATAAAAAAAACTGTCCAAACTTTTGAACGGTAGCAGACACAGAGACATATATATATATATATATAGAGAGAGAGAGACATATATATATATATATATTATATATAAAGAAAGATTCTCACCTTGATGGTCAGCATCACGTGAGTGTGACTCTTTAGCACTTCTACTGCATTGCTGTGTGTGATGTCCTCAAAACTCACTCCATTGGCTGCCAGAATCTGATCGCCCATTTTAATTCCGTTTTGCTCCGCCAGGCCACCAGGGTCCAGCCTTATCACAAAATCAAACAAATCAGTCATAACATCTAGGCAACCATTTTCATAAATGCCTGGTCATTATGTCTTACTTTGAGACATAGATGCCCAGACCAAACTCTTTGCCACCACGGATGTTGAAGCCCAGGCAGTAGTCATCTGAGGTTGTGTAAAGGTGCACTATTCTGCGCAGGGCTCCATCTGAACTGGCCTCCGAAGGTGTACGACCACTTTCCTCCACTACCATCCTTCGGTGGATAAGATCTACCCTGGATAAATATATATTAAATAAACAAATGTTACTCAATAATCTCAGTCATACAACAAAATAATACACATTCAAAGATTTGGGGTCAGTAAGAATTTCTTTTTTCTTTCAAATTGATCAAAAGTTTATTTGAATGTGACAGAGCCACATTTTGAGGAAATCAACCTATAAATGGTTTACTTATAGTTGTTTCTGGATATTAAGTTAGGATAGAAAAAAAGAAAGTACACTACCACACACACATACACATTCAGGTGGACACATACTTCTGTAATAAAACTTGCTAGCTCTACTTTTAGTTAATGAAATGGCTGAGAAGACCACTGAGGTAACTCTACCACCGCTGTATGCTGAAATAGAAGCTCAAGGAAAAGATAACATGTAAAGACCAAGAGTCACAGGGGTTTCCGCCCCGTTAGTCAAGGCAGGGGGGGCGGCGGCCCATCACCACACTCTCCTTATCTTCTCAGTTCAGTCATTCTTTTTAAACCTCATAATTCAGCACAACTTCAACAAATAAATAAGGTACCAGTATTTCAAACAGGCCACCTAAAGAACCTCTAAATATTCAAGGACAAAACACACTCTTCTTTAATGAGTTAGTCAAAGGGACAAAGTTAAGAGTACTTGAAAACCTCTAGGAGGCTTGTGGAAGACAGGTCAAGCTGCTATACAAACATACTTTTCTACTTTTCTTGCTGACTACTAAAGGTCACGTTGGTACATTTTATTAATTATTTTTACAGCAATGAAAATAGAAAGATTTTTTTCCTCAGTAAGCATCAAAGGGGGTCCCTTTAAAATTATTGAATACTATTAATTATACATTAATATGATCTATCTATCTATATATACTGTGTGTGTGTGTGTATATATATATATATATATATATATATATATATATATTTACATTTATTCATTTAGCTGACGCTTTTATCCAAAGCGACTTACAATTGCTATATATGTCAGAGGTCACACACCTCTGGAGCAACTAGGGGTTAAGTGTCTTACTCGGGGACACATTGGTGTCTCACAGTGGATTTGAACCCGGGTCTCAATGTTAACATACAGAATTAGACTCTGTAATATTCTAGGATCGCATGGCCAATTAATTTTTATTTAATAATTGTGGCTAATTAAAATAAAGATACACTATGTAACTTTTTTTGGTAAAAAACGTAACTAAATTTTAATACTGTAAATGAGTCAATAAATCGCCAATACTTCTTTCAAAACATATTTTTGTCAACCCCGTTTTTGCTCCGACTACTTTAACGGGTGGATGGTGTGGGATTGACACACCGAGTGGGGTCACACCGAGTGAGAAAGGTTGACATTAAATCTCAAACCTCGGGGAATCACCCATTTTTTTTTTTTTTTTAAATGTTGAACAGAGGAGAGTCTTCTGGAAAAAAGAGAAACTGATAGAGTTCGTAATAAAACGAGAACCAACATTGGCTTGTCTTTTCAGAGATGGAGAACTGAGGGATTTGAGCTGTTGTAAAAGCAACACTTTTAGAATAGAGTTTCTATTACTCAACAGGTGAGTAAGGTCTTTTATTGAACGAAGAAAATGACATATGCATCTAATATGACAAGGGCTTGCCGCCATTACTTTTGTACTTTTGTTTTGTATTTATTTATTTTGGGTTATTAAAGTGTGTGATACTTTATGGGAAGAAGGAGGCCGGGAATTGCCTCCTTCTTCCCATAAAGTATCACACACTTTAATATACATAACAACAAACCGAGTTACAAGCAATAATATCAGAGGAAATATCTTTGTCTTTGAATAAATGTGTTCTACAATGTGAGGCCTTGAAGAAGTAAAAATCAAGTTCAAATGATGACATAATATTTTTAACCACTTACCATGTAGTCTTCTCTTTTGAATAGCGGATACCAGGAACCTTCCCCACGCGTCTTACCACCATGCGGAGACGATTGTTCCCCGTCAGGACTTTAACAGCGCTGCTCATGGTGATGCTCTCCAGACTTATGGCATTCACCTCGACCAGCTTATCCCCAACACACAAGCCTGCCAACTCTGAAGTGAGGAATGACGACACAAAATGATGGATATGAAACTCATCGATAGCTTATAGATATATACTTTGTTGTCAGATGTTAGTCTCGGGTGTACCTGCAGTGCTGTCATCCTCCACCTTGCTAACAAAGATCCCAAGGCCGTGTTCAGAGCCTCCCCGCACACTGAAGCCCAGCCTGCCATCCTCACTTTTGTCCACAGTAATTGTGTGAATGTCTTCACAGTCATCCCCACCTACAGTGCATGACATCAAACACAAATAGAAGGAGCAACCTCTGGGAGCAAATTCTTAATTTAAAGCACAGGTTCTTTAATTACAAATTACAAGTTTTTACTCCTTAGTAAAAAGGTTTTTTATAATATAATATAATATAAAGTCTAGAACTACAATAATCATCATGTTTCACAGCGCACACAACGCCTCTGCCTCTTACTCACGATTTTTCAAAATGGGTACAGAAGAGATATCAGTCAATAAATGGAAAAAGTAACTAAAAGTAAATTTAAAAGTAATGTGTCACTTTGCTAGAAAAGTAATCTGATTACATACGTAATAGTGTTAGCACTGTGGCCGATAAAAAATAAATGGCAAATGTTCAAATTTTATTCTAGGCTATATAGCTTTTTCTTTTATTTATTTATTCTAAAAATAAATAAAAAAAACACTAAAAACTGAAATAAGCCACTTTTAAATATCCAATATTGACTGATACCAATTACCGGTAATAAAAAACCCCATAATATTAGCAGATACCTGATATGATACTAGTATGTAACTTTTTAATCATTAAATGGAATAAATAAACCAGTTCACATGAGAAAGTTGACGATTTCATTTGAATTTGTATGATTTAATTTGTACAAAAACATGATTTTTAGATCAAAACTAAGCCTTCATGGCGAACAAAATCATATGAATGACATCATATGAAAAAATTTGCCACTGAATCGCCAAAACTGAGATTTATGAATTGCCAGTGTGTTGGTTAGCTGAATCATCATATGAAGGTGCATATGTTTGTTGGAAACTCACCATCGACAGGCGCGTTGATGATGATGACCCTGCCCATAGGCGAGGAAGATCTCACTCCTCTCTGGCGCTGCTGCTTCTTGTGCAGGTAGCGTGGTAGAGTAGAGGTGCCCGAGGGCCCTGGCTGGGCACTGGGATGAGCCCCATTCGTCATGTCTTTGCGTGCCGTGTCAGACGAATGAGCCATGGCAAAGTGCCGACCTCCCCTCTGACCCTCATCCAGGGTCTGAGCTCCTAAAAGGAACACGAGAGGAGCGGGAAAACTAGAGGTCCGGTGGGTCAATCAGGAGAATTACAGTCCGCAGGATTAGCTCCACAAAAGGGCAATCTGCTGCAATCATGCAGGAAGAAACTGCGAGGGATCCAGCATTGTTCACTTTAGATTACAAGCCATATTGAGATGATTTGAGTGATTGAGTGATTTGATCCTGAAGGACTCCAACATAATTATAATCATTTCATAAAGCAGCTGATAAACAAAATGATATTATCCAGGCAGTGGTAACGCAAAGTGTATCCGTATGTGCATTTGTTCTGAAGAGAGCTTCACAAAATCAGAGGATGTATAGTGGTGGCTCAGGTCTTTTTGTTGAGTTGAAAGTCTGCTGGTTAGACTGGGGCATCGGGCTGGAGTCCCTCCTCACGGCCAGTGGAGCTTTGCTTGGCAGGAGTCATTCATCTGGTCCTCTCACCTTTACCTGCCAGTGATCCAAGACGACAGAGAAAGATCTGTGAGAACCCAGCCGGGCAATGAGTAATTTCCCATGGGAGGTAAAGTGATATCAGCAATTATTGCATTCTGGAAAGCTAAGGGTTGCAGTGTTTCCACAGCAAGAGATACTGAGCTTATGTGGGACACTAATATGGTAGAACCTGTTTTTTGTTTTGTTTTTAGCCCAAGAATAGGGTGTTGCATCAGCAATTTCTGGTAATTGGTTATTATATTAATATTATATACAGTATATATACACTTAATTGATTCATTATGAAAATTAAATTAAATTTGGCTTATTGTTATTATATTATTATTTAATGTTTTCTTCATATTTTGTTTTGGAAAATAAAAGACACTTCTATGTGTTTACATCACATAAGTGTCTATCATACATTATTCCAGTCAAAAGTTTAGACCACACACACCTGGCTGACTGAATTAATGTTTTGCATCATGATTAAAAAAAAACTTGCATAGCCTGTACTAAACAGTGAAAGAAAAGCAGCCAACAAGCATATATTGTATGATCATATATTTGATAAGCATCCCAAGTAACACTTCATAAAGTTGATTGAAAGAATGTGAAAGAGTGTAGGGAAAAAAAGACTCTTATTATCAAGACAATGGTTGGTTGAGTTTAGAAATTCTAATTATTTTTTAGGATTATAAAAAGTATAAAAACACCAATAATAAAGAGTCAGTGGGTGTGTCCAGGTGACCAGTGTGAAATATCTTCCCTCAGAACAGAAGAACGCAATGTATCTCCCCAAAATAACAGTGCAGACTTTTTGGGTGAGATGTGCTGCTTCTCTCTGGGGGAACGAAAAGTGTATCAAATTCCTGAATTAATCCATTACCCGGCTTGTAGTAACGATAAAAAAGGATTTATTAATTTTCCTTAAAAACTGTATCCAAAACGCGTCATATTGACCCACCTACGTTTGTGTTAGTTTTTGGGTCATGCATTCTGATATTGTCATGTTGTATCTCTTAACAGGAGTGACAGTGTCATCATCAGCACCTAGGACAGCGACAACCAACAGGTTGTGTAAAGCGTGAACGATAGAAGACAACATTCACATAGATAAAGTGTTGACTTGCTCTTCGAGAGTCAATATCCAAATCTACATAATTCTGGGTGAGAATATCTCACAAATGTACAAAGGTCATTAAATCCTTAAGCAACAGATGCAGTCAACAGGTTAGCAATTATTTGCATTAACAGTAAGATTCATTCAGAATAAATATTCTGTTAATAATGTTATGCCTTAATGCAACAAAAACAAAGTTCGATGAAGTAAAACGCCGTTACCTGTCTCCATGTTGTGCCGCATGACCTCACCTGAGACAAAGACAATATTAGCCTTCTCTAAGCCCGCCTCTCAGGGCAGGTGATTGGATTATGGAGCAGCTCAGAAGGACACTGCAGTGCACAAACTCATTTGGACCAGTGGTTGACAATCGTCACTCATAGCATTAGAGTATTATATGAACAGTGGTCTTGTGGAACAAGATCCAATTAAGTTTCACGTTGGTCTGCAGTTTAGCGCGCGTTGCCATCAGTCATACACTGAAGCACATTTCAACAAGTTGAAAGCTTCTCCTCTTTATGTGATTACATTATTTATCTTGATTAAATGTTTGCAATTGAGTGTTTGATCTTCGAACTGTTTTTGATCAAATTGTGAATAATTGATCCCCTTCAAGGAAATTGGAGCATCTTTCATGACACTATACTGCCATGTAGTGGTCATTTAACAACATTGCTTTACAAGGAAATTGAAGATTTTGCCATTAACTACTCACCCTCATGTCGTTCCAAAAACTTCATCTTCGGAACACAAGTGAAGATATTTTTGATGAAATCTGAGAGTTTTCTGTCCCTCCATTGACAGCTACACAACTACCACATAGACCAATCTAAAAGTTCATTAAGAGAACGTAAAACTAATTCATATAGTAGTTTTTCTGAAGAGACATGAACATTTTATATGATCAAAATATTGATTTTAGGCTTTTAAACATTCATCATAGCAGCTTTATGTGAATAAAACCGCTCGATTCAAATGGATTAGGCCTAGTTTTAGGATCTCATTATGAACTTTTTGAAGCGTCAAAGTGTTAGTTGTGTAGCTCAACAAAGGGACAGAAAGATTTTAGATTTCATCAAAAAGATCTTCATTTGTGTTCCGAAGATGTTTGGAACGTCATGAGGGTGAGTAAATAATGACATATTTTTCTTTTATTATTTATTTATTTATTTGGGTGAATAGTCCCTAATTCGTTGCTCTGAATTTGGTTTGAAAGTGGGTATGAAGGTAAAGTATGAATACCAGCAGATTTTATTGCAGAGCAAACTTAATTCACCACAGATATCTAGAATTTATTTTCTAGTGGTATGTATCCATTGTATATGTACATTAAAGTCAAGATTTCTGAATTTTTCGCCAAAAATATAACGTTACCCACACAGCTATTTGATCAAAATGCAAACAAGGACAACGTTAGGATAAATTAGGATATATTACGTGTGGTCTAAGGAATAAATCCGTCTTTTCAGGTGGTAAATGTGGCGGAAGTTTGCAAAAGGGCTAAAGTAACACTTTTTTCACAAAGCTAAAAAATCCCCATAAGAGCAATTTTGCTCTGCTATCTCAGGAAATCACGAAGCAGATAACCAATCATAACGCAGCTCCTATCCACGCCCCGTTTTAGAACCATCAGCCAATCATAACGCTGTTCTTATCCACGCCCAAGTATCTCGAGCCAACTGCAGATCTCTCTGGCCCAAACACCGCCTTTTCACACAAAAAACGCACGTTCATCATTTCAACCTTCTCGCGCAGACTGTCAGACGCAAACCGGAAGTGCGGGCAGTGTATACTGTCATCACGCAGAGGAAAGCAGTCAGCACTGAGGTCATCTGCTTCAAGGTGTACCTGAACGTTACCTGTGGTCTTTTAGCAAGGTCTGTGTCACATATTTTATTGAATGACCCTTTGAACAAAAATGCACGTTTGTCTGTGTCGATTTGGTTGTTGTGTCCATGTAAGTGTGAGATTATAGCTAGCTAACGTTATCTTAGCAGGTTGAAGGGGTTATGGGTGCTTAATTAAGTTACAGTGCTTATTTTTTAACAGCGGGACAGTTCAAAGTTTCAATCAAAACAAATGAGTCTCATGTCATAGGAAAAGTCTTTATTTGAAATTTTCTTGTTCGTTTACATTCCACCAGCATAGCAGCTAGCATTAGCTACAAAAGCTGTTATCTATGCGGTTTATGTCGCTCGCTTTTACATGGTAAATAAACGGTGACATTTTCTGTAGTTGTAAAGCAGTTTAGTTATGTCTTTCTCAAATTAAAATCTTTGTAAATTCAACAGCCGGTCTAGTCCTTGCTCTTTTATGCATTTCTAATCTCACATGGTAACTTGTCAGACATTATTGTTTATGGGCGTGCACGACGTTAAGCGTGTTAAGTATCAATAAAACTGTCTGTTAGTAAATAGGGTTCAGTCATAAAATGTCTTAGTTTTACTTTCACCTTGCTTTCATTTTTCACACTAACTTTAATTTTTTTTTTCTTAATTGTGAACATGGCCTTATTCACCCAAATCAGGCTTGACAGCAAATTTTGTTTCTCAGGCTTGAGAGCATATTTTGTTTATCAGTGATTGAGTTTCTCAGATTATCTGTGATCTTCACAGAAGGCGAATAGGATGTCTGGAGATTTGCCACTGAATATCAACATTAAAGAACCACGATGGGACCAGGGCACATTTATGGGTCGGGCTCAGCACTTCTTCATGGTGACGGACCCCAGAAATGTGCTGCTGTCCAGTGAGGTTTTGGAGGATGCCAGAGTTACTGTGGAGGACTACAGGTCAGTAGTCTATGAACTTTTGGGGTGAAATCCTGTCCTTTATGATAATGTACAAACTGTTGCTGTACCAATTATTGGAAATGTTGAATGTGTATGTATGTGTATATATATATATATATATATATATATATATATATAATTTCCCTTTCTGAACAGAACCATAAAACATTTCAGCTGATTAAAAGTGCTTATCCTACCTCACATCTTTGTGACCAGGGTTGCTATATCTGTGGTTTTACCACAGAATTGGGCTACTTTTAAATTGTTGCTGTGTTTTTTTTTTTTATTGCTGAGGTTTTGTTTTTGATTGTATTTGACACAAATCCTTGTATTGTAATATTTTACTAATTTTATTATGTATGAATGATAAAACTGCTAGGTAATAATGATGGGAGGGGAATAGCATTTGAGCTCCTGTGAGGTGAGCTCCTTAATACATTATGGTTTTTATGATTACTAATATATAGTGATTTTTAAAATGACACTGAATATAAAATGCGTTTTAAATACTTTTATTCAGCAAGAACGCATTGAATTGATCAAAAGTGACAGTAAAACATTTATGAAATGTAACAAGATTTTTATTTCAAGTAGCCTAAATGATGGGTTTCTTATTTCCATTTTGTTTTCATCAAAGAATCCTTAAATATAGTATCACTGTTTTCAAAAAAAATATTAAGCAGCACAATTTTTTTCAACATTGATAATACTAAGGAATGTTTCTTAAGCACCAAATCAGCATATTAGAATGTTTTATGAAGGATCATGTGCCACTAAAGACTGATAATAAAGATTTGCAGCTTTGTCATCACAAGAATAAATCCAATTTTAAAATATATAAATTTTAAGTTACTTTAAATTCCAATCATATTTTATAATATAATACTTTTTACTGTATTTTTGACTAAATAAATGCAGTCTTGGTGAGCATAAGAGATTTCTTTCAAAAACATTTATAAATAACTTTTATTTACTAGCTCTGATGCCCTGTTAAGTCTTATTATTGGCTGTTTTCAAACACTCCCCCCTCTCCCATTGGTCAGACAAACAGATCCCAGTCCCACCCCAAATGCCATTGGCCATTGTTGCTGGTTGATATGCTCAAACAAAAATAGCAATGTTTTGAAAACGCCACAGAACTTTTCATAGGAATCAACCTATGATTGGCTTAAACACACTTTACCTTAAATATTGTTTCAGCTCTCTATGCTGTTATCAGTTTAGTCTGTTACATTATTGTTTTGATGTGTTACTGTACATGTCTTAAATAAAATGTCTTTCTGCTGTGCCCTCTTTCACAGGTCGGGAGTTGTGAAGCCTGGGCTAACAGAAGATCAACTATGGAGGGCCAAATACATCTACGACTCTGCTTTCCACCCAGACACAGGAGAGAAAATGCTGATAGTTGGACGCATGTCTGCACAAGTGCCCATGAACATGACCATTACGGGTTGCATGCTCACCTTTTACAGGTAAAAAGAGCACTCACTCTTGATCATTCGTCTTTCTGAACACCATATGGACGGGAAGTGTATTTAGACCTGAAAATGTTATACATTTGTGCTATAAAAGGAAAGGGAGTAAATCTTTCCATGGAATATTTCCTAAATGAGTCATCATGGAAAAGACAGCAGTCCTACTGAATGGCTAAGTTTAGTGGTTTAATTCAGGGTTAGAAGGTTGACTGTGTTTTATGGCAGTATTTTGTGCTCTTAAAATGTAGAGAGTAAAAGAATACTTTGAATAAGATTGAAAAAAAAGTGCAAAAAGTATTTTTTCCCCTATTTTATAGTCACATAATTACTTGGATCAGTGAGTCATCTGCTAATGAGTCATTTTGAGTAAGATCAACACATGACTCAAATTACAGGCTTATGTGGGAGATTCTTATGACTGCAGCGTTGCCCAAGAAGTCTCATAATAAATGTCTTTTAGTTTTAAAAAAATACACATACACATTACATTTTCATTAAATTCAAGTTTCTCTCTATGTTTCTAGGACAACCCCAGCAGTGGTGTTTTGGCAGTGGGTTAACCAGTCCTTCAACGCCATTGTCAACTACACTAACCGCAGTGGAGACGCGCCACTCACCATGAAGTATGAAGGCTAAGAGCACTACTAGATACACTCTAGCTGCAGGTTTCTATAGTAGGCCTCATGACAACTCACCTTTTGTTGGTGTGATGATGTGTTTCGCCCACAACTTATTGGTATATAAGCCGGGCTTACACGCTATGATTTTTGATGTTGTGAAATCGTTGATGCTCGTATGGTTATGGCTTGCATTGTGTGAGAGAAATTACTAGCCAAATCGAATAAGTTACAAAGCACCTCCCGATTATTTTTAAACGTTTTAAAAATTAGGGGAGTCTAAGCTATTTTGACCAGTGCACATAGCATGTCCCTTATTGCCAAATCAACCATGTCTCATTGGCTAGATCTATAAATATTATTTATTATAGTCCATGTGGCTGCAACCACAGCTTGCACATACACTGACACACACACAAATAAACTCTCTAGTTGTTTTTGTTAAAAGGAATGATTGTGCTTTTCTCTGCTTTTTACCAAATCATTTACACGTCTTTTTTTTCAATCCAAAGTCATAGCAGCAATTTTGAAAGCTCCAGTCTCTGTGTTTAGCGCGAAAGCTCAGGTGATTGGCACCAGCTTGCCGTGCAGTACAGTCATGCTGTGTACGCCTGCCTTTAGTGTCCTGAAAGCTGTTGCATGAGCCATAATATGACACAAATGTTGGAGTCTATTCCACCTGCAATTCATGAACTTCCCATGGAGCAGAGATGTCTTTTTTTTTTTAGTTTATTTGATCAGGACCATGCATATTCATGAGATTTTTATATGATATTGCACCATGTAAATATGCCAGAATTAGTAAAAAGATACTACTTTTCATCTTCTGTCAATGTTTCATGATCACTACACATGCTGAATACTTGCAGATTTAAGTAGCTTGCTCATTTATTTATGTTTCCATTCTGATCATGTGTTTATTAGCAGTTTATCATCTAATAATATAAATGCCTGTTGCATCCTTTCACCAAGCATCAGTTGTTGGAGTTAGGAGTTACGTAACAAGGCTTATATTGTTTTAAAATTGTTTGTACACATGATTTAGGTGTATAAACAACATACTACACATGCTTTAGGGATGAAATCACTACTCAACAACATTGCTCTTTCTGAACTATAGTCTTCGTGAAGGAGAAATTCTGATATGTCAGTGTGGCAATTATGAGCTTCATGAGAAATATTTATGTAGTGATCTGCTCAGTAACGCATAACAATACATAATTCTTAAATGCAAATTATTTTTGCCTCTACAGTCAGCTTGGTGCGGCCTACGTCAGTGCGACCACTGGAGCTGTAATAACAGCCCTTGGCCTGAAGTCTCTAACCAAGGTCTGTCCTTTCCTTTAAATTGTCTCAATATTTAGTTTAATAAAGAGTGTCTTTTTAACAATTCTTTAAATTCTTTAACATTTTTGAAGATATTGGTTTACTTCTCAATATTGTTAGTTTCCATTTATATGTTTTTGAAAAAAGTCGATTACTCTATGCTTACAAGACTGCATTTATTTGATCAAAATTGTAGTAAAAAATTAAAGTGACATATATTATTAGAATTTAAAATGACTTTTCTATTTGAATGTATTTTTTTCTTGTGATGGCATGTGAAAGTCTTTTTTTCTGAATTCTTTGACAAATTCTAAATTTATAATGTTTATTTACTGTCACTTTATCAATTTAATGTGCCCTTGCTGAGTAAAAGTATACATTTCTTTAAATTTATACTGTATATATTAATAAATCTTACAGAACCCAAACTTTTGAATGATATGTGTGTGTATATATATTTCCCCCTGTATTCGGACACATAAACAAACCTGTCATACAGCAAAATGTATTTATTTACTGCTTTCTTGGCTTAATTGTTGATCTTGTGTGTCAATGCTGGTTTATTATTTGTGGACAATTTTGTGCAATAGTCACTCAATGTCTTATCTCTCTCCAGCACTTGCCTGCTATTATGGGACGTTTTGTTCCATTTGCTGCAGTGGCAGCAGCCAACTGTATCAACATACCCTTCATGAGACAAAGGTGAGTGAAAAAAAACACTGCTTTCCAGAATTTGAATTACTTAATTTTTTTTTTTAATTTATAATTGAAAATGGATCATAGAGCACCACAACACACCTGTAGCCAATCAGCAGTAGGGGGTGTGTCCACTCATGATGGGGAAGGAGAGAAATTTAACAAGAGGGAGATTTGAAGAAAGACTCTAGAAAGAGAGATGGCTGAAAGACATTACAAAGAGAAGGTCAGAGGAATATCAGAATATATAATAATAATAATATTAGAGGTAATGTTTGAACCGCTTTCCTGTGCTGGAGACACGAGAACAGGAAGGCCTGAAAACAAATGCCGAGGTTATGTTGATTCTGCTCCGTACGTGAGGAACATTGGTTTTGCTATGTTTCACAGAACCAAAATATGCTATTGTTGTAATGTTAGCTAGCTATAGGAACAGGGCAGTTTTGAGTGCTATTGGAGTGCTTCTGCCGACTAACAACCAACTCTTGATTGTATGTACTCCTGCGTACCGTGTGACATTTTTGTAGTTCCTTGTTGTTGGTCATCTTTGCTTCGCTCCAGCTATGATACAGAAACATCCACTCTTGCACTGCGTTCATGCATTTTAGGGGCAGTGCACAGAAGGGAAGGGTGTGTTTGTTAATTTGTTTTTCAAAGTGCTTACTGCACTTTAATTGGCTTTAAAAATGTTGGATTGACCATTGAATGAGTTCTCTTTTCTTAATACTTCTACAGAGAGCTGAAGTGTGGTATTCCTGTTACTGATGCTGAGGGTAAACGAGTCGGAGAATCAACTAAAGCTGCTCAGCAAGCCATAGTGCAGGTGGTGGTGTCTCGTATTGGCATGGCAGTGCCAGCCATGGGTAAGCTTTTATATTATTATTTTTTTTTATGTTAATAATAATGGAGTTTCTCTATATTTTTGATGTTTTTTATTGATTAATTTAAATAACCTCTTATTCACATCCAAAAAAAAAAGGTAAAATATGAACTTAAGAGTGGTCCCCTTGTGTTTAACTTTTTTTGCATTGGTTTTCTCAAACAGCTATTCCTCCAGTTATTATGAATGCCTTAGAGAAGAAAGCTTTCATGAAGGTAAAGAATAACAGACTAATTTCAATCATTTCTCTGAATCTGTAAGTGAAATGGATGTTTTTAAAGTGCATCGCAAAATTTCTGTCCGTTTCTCAGCGGTTCCCGGTTCTCAATGCCCCTGTACAAGTTGGGCTTGTAGGATTCTGGTGAGTTTTTTTTTTTTTGTGTGTTTATTTGCTATACACAGCAATCCTGGTATAAAACAATGAATGAATGATTTATTTAAAATATCCATCCCCACAGCCTGGTGTTTGCCACTCCGTTGTGCTGTGCCCTGTTCCCACAGAAAAGGTGAGTGCTTTTAATTTAATCTATTTTCCCCTAGTTTGTTGGATGTGCTGAATTGGGATGTCTTTCTGTCTGTGTGAAGTTCTATGAAGGTGAGCAGCCTGGAGCCGGAACTTCAAGAGAGTTTACGACAAAGCAATCCTCACATCACCACTGTTTATTTCAACAAGGGTCTGTAGAGCAGTCTAGGTTGCAGCCCATTCTGATGTCTTCCATTGCACTGGAGGTTAGTGGGCACAACTTGAAAGGTAGATAGAAAGGTAGTTTTTTTTTTTTTTTGCTGTTTTGAGTTATATATTTTTGTCAATTTTACCCATGCTATTGCACAATCCTTAGTTACTATGTACAATGAAGGGCAGAACTTGCTGCTGGATTTGGTTTAGAAGCTTGAATGTTAACTGCTGCATTGATGTTTTAAACCCCATCACACACATGTTGACTTATTTACCTATACATTCATCACATTGATTTATTCTCGATTACCATATCCGTATTGTAAGATTTTTTTGTTTCGTTAGTGCTTCTTTAGTTAAGTTTTCCAGGTTTGTGGCTCAAAGGTTTATCTCACATGCACGTTCTTACTGAAGACAATTCCAGAAATTGGGTTTTCAACAGGAGTATTTCCACATTACATGCTCCATTATGTGCCCATTAAGTGCACTTATGCAGCAAATGCAGTGTGCTTCACTCTCTGTACTGCAAAAGAATCCCTAAGATGTGAGAACATCAACTCGATCATGAGAACATCAAAATGCTAATTATTAGGTGACTATCTTTGATGTACATCTTTACTTCCTGCAGGCCATACTTCATTATTTTTGTTTAAGCCTTACAGGCCTGTGTGGTTTTAAGTCTCTGAGATATTTGGTTGTGTGGATTGTAGTTTGTGTGTTGTTATTGAAGAATTGTGAAGAGGTCAAAATAATATCTATTATTGTGATTGTAAAAATAATTCCCCCTAATGGGACAGAATGTGTCTGGGCTTAAAGACAGAAGCACTACATCTCTCAGACAGCAAGAGCAATTTATACGAACAGAGTTCACTCATGCTTGATAGAAGAAATATGCTAATTCAGAGAATGAAGAAAGAGTTGCTTCATATGCCCTGCTTTGATCATCTATCATCTCAAACATTAACAGTTATTGGAACAACAATCAGATTTATTTATTGTTGTCATGGGGGAATCTATGAGATGATGTATCAATAATATACATATATATGGTGTCTGTAGTCAGTGTATGATATAACCTTACCTTTTGTAAGTTAACAGCTCCTATAATCTGAGCGAATAAGATCAAACTAGTTTTCCCTGACATATTGTGGTAATGTTACAGTGTGTAGTTTTTGTTGCTTGGTTCTGGTTCCTATTGTTTTTGTGAATGAAGTTACCAAACCTTTACGGTGTTCCTTTGCCATCGGACTCTCTGAACTCTGTGCTTTTTTGGGATGAAAAAGGCTCATTGAAGTGATGTTATTCCCATCATGTCCTCTGAGAGGCAACAGAGATCTGTTTGTTTTTGACTTGAGCACTCCATGTTGGCAAATATTGTTTAGCCTAATATATATGTTGCATAAGTATGCAGTTGGAAAAAAACTAGTGCTGTGGAAAACAGTCAGGAATTAATGCACAATTTCCCTGTTACTATGACTGATAGAGAGAGCTGTCAGATATGTTATGCAAATAAGACTATGTGATTGTGATTTATACAAAAATGTCTAAATTTCCTTGGAATGTCCTGTTACACCAAATCTCACAGAAAACTATAACCCTATGCTGTCAAGATTTATTCTTCCTATAATAATGCAATGTACCAGCAGAAGTTCAGTCGGTCGTGTAATGCACCAACGTTATATTATAATGATTTACAGTGATGCTCAACATAATAGACACGTTTCCAAACATAAACAAGGGTGTTACGGTCTTTCTCAACAGGCATTAAGGTGTCATATCCTCTTTAATCACAAAACTGTTTGTTACTTAGTAAGTTCTTTCAGATGTTTTATGATTGTAAATTGCACTAGACCACTGACAATGTTTATTGGAGATCTCATGAAAAAATGTTTTATTGTGTACAAATGTAATAATTTAGTGAATCTAATGAAACGAAAACCATCATGTTATAACTTTACACACACAATTGTTAATGAACACACAATGGTCATTGTGTTATTTTCTATTGACAGTTATAACATTATGGTTGTCCATCAATATGTGGATAATAATTAAATTAAAAATTAAGATTGTCACACCAAATGCATTTGGCATGTTTCAAAAATGAGACCTTACCAAGGAAAACAATTGTTACTGCACATATTCTTGATGCTTAGAGCACATATTTTTTGATAGGTCTCCCATAGCATGGGAAGTGCAAGCACAATAAATGGTGTGGTGTCATGCATATAAATGTCACTCCAGGAAGACCCACTTTAGCACAATTATTATAGTTAGTATTGGTGCTCGTTGTGTTTTATTTTTCCAGCATTTTATATTGTTTTGTTAATCCTTGTGTGTATTTTATCTGGAACAATGTAATAAAGAAGATATTAAACTGACTGTCTGAGACTATATTTTGTCAGCGCTTGCTATAGAGGTGCCTTGGCTCGTACTTAATCTAAATATTTGGCCTATAACAGTTGATCAGACGTTTTTCTAAACGGTTGGCTTACCCAGATGAAACCCATGTTTAAACAGTAAGCTAAATTTTGTATGAGAGCAGTTTCAAAGTCCCTATTTTTAAATTTCAAGCATAAAAGTAGGTGGGCTGAAAAAAGAACAGTTACATATGTATGGAAGTAAAATAATGTCAAATGTTTTTGAAACAAAAAGTATGTTGAATTACACCAATTGGAAAAAAAATTAATTGCGTTAACCATTCTTGCATTTTAATCCATTGTCTTCTAAGGCTTGCATTTTTCTGGGCTGAAATTAGGCATGGTTGGATATTTAAGCTTTGAATATTTCATTTAATAACATTTCAAACACATTTTCATGATTAAAAATTCAATAATCCATATTCACCTTTCATAAGAGCCACAAAACGCGCTCTATTACGGGACAAACGAGCTAATTAAATATAAGATAAGATGGCAAAACGGTACATAAGCGCAGGATTGCATTGTCTTTGTGTTTTCGTGCATCAATCAGAGTGTCTGGTAGATTAAAACGGTGAGAGATTGTGGCTGGCCGAGGCTTAAGAGCTGTGAGACGCGCTCCAATGCGGGCAAAGGAGCGAATAAAATATATGATAAGATGAAAAAAGGGTAAATAAGAAATGGATTGCACTTTATGTGCTCTCATCGGAGGGTCAGGGTCTTGAGATCTTGTGGCAGGCACGACGCCATAGGTGACGTGACGCACACTCCAAATGGGCAAAAAGAGCGAATCTAGAGCAAATGGTCATAGAGCCATGGGTCTAGAGCCTCCATTTTTGCACTAAGGTCAAAGTCTCACAGCCCTCTATCAGAATCCAGAGTTTTGAGAAGATTGGAGAAACTTAATTTTTCGCCCGAAAATGAAAAAAAACGAAAGGGGTAACACTGTCGTTTTTTTTTTTCGGGTCGAAATTTTGATTTTCGATATCTCAGCTCTGGAAGGGTCTAGAGCCTCCATTTTTGCACTCAGGTCAAAGTCTCATGGCCCTCTATCAGAATCCAGAGTTTTGAGAAGATTGGAGAAACTTAATTTTTCGCCCGAAAAGAAAAAAAACGAAAGGGGTAACACTGTCGTTTTTTTTTCGGGTCGAAATTTTGAGTTTCGATATCTCAGCTCTGGAAGGGTCTAGAGCCTCCATTTTTGCACTCAGGTCAAAGTCTCATGGCCCTCTATCAGAATCCAGAGTTTTGAGAAGATTGGAGAAACTTAATTTTTCGCCCGAAAATGAAAAAAAACGAAAGGGGTAACACTGTCGTTTTTTTTTTCGGGTCGAAATTTTGAATTTTGATATCTCAGCTCTGGAAGGGTCTAGAGCCTCCATTTTTGCACTCAGGTCAAAGTCTCACAGCCCTCTATCATAATCCAGAGTTTTGAGAAGATTGGAGAAACTTAATTTTTCGCCCGAAAACGAAAAAAACGAAAGGGGTAACACTGTCGTTTTTTTTTCGGGTCGAAATTTTGAATTTCGATATCTCAGCTCTGGAAGGGTCTAGAGCCTCCATTTTTGCACTCAGGTCAAAGTCTCATGGCCCTCTATCAGAATCCAGAGTTTTGAGAAGATTGGAGAAACTTAATTTTTCGCCCGAAAACGAAAAAAAACGAAAGGGGTAACACTGTTTTTTTTTTTTCGGGTCGAAATTTTGAATTTCGATATCTCAGCTCTGGAAGGGTCTAGAGCCTCCATTTTTGCACTCAGGTCAAAGTCTCATGGCCCTCTATCAGAATCCAGAGTTTTGAGAAGATTGGAGAAACTTAATTTTTCGCCCGAAAACGAAAAAAAACGAAAGGGGTAACACTGTCGTTTTTTTTTTCGGGTCGAAATTTTGAATTTTGATATCTCAGCTCTGGAAGGGTCTAGAGCCTCCATTTTTGCACTCAGGTCAAAGTCTCATGGCCCTCTATCAGAATCCAGAGTTTTGAGAAGATTGGAGAAACTTAATTTTTCGCCCAAAAATGAAAAAAAAAAAAAGGGGTAACACTGTCGTTTTTTTTTTCGGGTCGAAATTTTGAATTTCGATATCTCAGCTCTGGAAGGTCTAGAGCCTCCATTTTTGCACTCAGGTCAAAGTCTCACAGCCCTCTATCATAATCCAGAGTTTTGAGAAGATTGGAGAAACTTAATTTTTCGCCCGAAAACGAAAAAAAACGAAAGGGGTAACACTGTCGTTTTTTTTTCGGGTCGAAATTTTGAATTTCGATATCTCAGCTCTGGAAGGGTCTAGAGCCTCCATTTTTGCACTCAGGTCAAAGTCTCGTGGCCCTCTATCAGAATCCAGAGTTTTGAGAAGATTGGAGAAACTTAATTTTTCGCCCGAAAACGAAAAAAAACGAAAGGGGTAACACTGTCGTTTTTTTTTTCAGGTCGAAATTTTGAGTTTCGATATCTCAGCTCTGGAAGGGTCTAGAGCCTCCATTTTTGCACTCAGGTCAAAGTCTCATGGCCCTCTATCAGAATCCAGAGTTTTGAGAAGATTGGAGAAACTTAATTTTTCGCCCGAAAACGAAAAAAAACGAAAGGGGTAACACTGTCGTTTTTTTTTTCAGGTCGAAATTTTGAGTTTCGATATCTCAGCTCTGGAAGGGTCTAGAGCCTCCATTTTTGCACTCAGGTCAAAGTCTCATGGCCCTCTATCAGAATCCAGAGTTTTGAGAAGATTGGAGAAACTTAATTTTTCGCCCAAAAAAAAAAAAAAAAAGGGGTAACACTGTCGTTTTTTTTTTCGGGTCGAAATTTTGAATTTTGATATCTCAGCTCTGGAAGGGTCTAGATCATCCATTTTTGCACTCAGGTCAAAGTCTCACAGCCCTCTATCATAATCCAGAGTTTTGAGAAGATTGGAGAAACTTAATTTTTCGTCCGAAAAAAAACAAAAACGAAAGGGGTAACACTGTCGTTTTTTTTTCGGGTCGAAATTTTTTATTTCGATATCTCAGCTCTGGAAGTGTCTAGAGCCTCCATTTTTGCACTCAGGTCAAAGTCTCGCGCCCCTCTATCAGAATCCAGAGTTTTGAGAAGATTGGAGAAACTTAATTTTTCGCCCGAAAATGAAAAAAAAACGAAAGGGGTAACACTGTCGTTTTTTTTTCGGGTCGAAATTTTGAGTTTCGATATCTCAGCTCTGGAAGGGTCTAGAGCCTCCATTTTTGCACTCAGGTCAAAGTCTCACAGCCCTCTATCATAATCCAGAGTTTTGAGAAGATTGGAGAAACTTAATTTTTCGCCCGAAAATGAAAAAAAAACGTAAGGGGTAACACTGTCGTTTTTTTTTTTCGGGTCGAAATTTTGAATTTTGATATCTCAGCTCTGGAAGGGTCTAGAGCCTCCATTTTTGCACTCAGGTCAAAGTCTCACAGCCCTCTATCATAATCCAGAGTTTTGAGAAGATTGGAGAAACTTAATTTTTCGCCCGAAAATGAAAAAAAACGTAAGGGGTAACACTGTCGTTTTTTTTTTCGGGTCGAAATTTTGAATTTGATATCTCAGCTCTGGAAGGGTCTAGAGCCTCCATTTTTGCACTCAGGTCAAAGTCTCACAGCCCTCTATCATAATCCAGAGTTTTGAGAAGATTGGAGAAACTTAATTTTTCGCCCGAAAAAAAAAAAACGAAGGGGTAACACTGTCGTTTTTTTTTCGGGTCGAAATTTTGAATTTCGATATCTCAGCTCTGGAAGGGTCTAGAGCCTCCATTTTTGCACTCAGGTCAAAGTCTCACAGCCCTCTATCATAATCCAGAGTTTTGAGAAGATTGGAGAAACTTAATTTTTCGCCCGAAAACGAAAAAAAACGAAAGGGGTAACACTGTCGTTTTTTTTTTCGGGTCGAAATTTTGAGTTTCGATATCTCAGCTCTGGAAGGGTCTAGAGCCTCCATTTTTGCACTCAGGTCAAAGTCTCGTGTCCCTCTATCAGAATCCAGAGTTTTGAGAAGATTGGAGAAACTTAATTTTTCGCCCGAAAATGAAAAAAAACGTAAGGGGTAACACTGTCGTTTTTTTTTTCGGGTCGAAATTTTGAGTTTCGATATCTCAGCTCTGGAAGGGTCTAGAGCCTCCATTTTTGCACTCAGGTCAAAGTCTCGTGTCCCTCTATCAGAATCCAGAGTTTTGAGAAGATTGGAGAAACTTAATTTTTCGCCCGAAAATGAAAAAAAAACGAAAGGGGTAACACTGTCGTTTTTTTTTCGGGTCGAAATTTTGAGTTTCGATATCTCAGCTCTGGAAGGGTCTAGAGCCTCCATTTTTGCACTCAGGTCAAAGTCTCACAGCCCTCTATCATAATCCAGAGTTTTGAGAAGATTGGAGAAACTTAATTTTTCGCCCGAAAATGAAAAAAAACGAAAGGGGTAACACTGTCGTTTTTTTTTTCGGGTCGAAATTTTGAATTTCGATATCTCAGCTCTGGAAGGGTCTAGAGCCTCCATTTTTGCACTCAGGTCAAAGTCTCACAGCCCTCTATCATAATCCAGAGTTTTGAGAAGATTGGAGAAACTTAATTTTTCGCCCGAAAATGAAAAAAAACGTAAGGGGTAACACTGTCGTTTTTTTTTTCGGGTCGAAATTTTGAATTTCGATATCTCAGCTCTGGAAGGGTCTAGAGCCTCCATTTTTGCACTCAGGTCAAAGTCTCACAGCCCTCTATCATAATCCAGAGTTTTGAGAAGATTGGAGAAACTTAATTTTTCGCCCGAAAATGAAAAAAAACGAAAGGGGTAACACTGTCGTTTTTTTTTTTCGGGTCGAAATTTTGAATTTTGATATCTCAGCTCTGGAAGGGTCTAGAGCCTCCATTTTTGCACTCAGGTCAAAGTCTCACAGCCCTCTATCATAATCCAGAGTTTTGAGAAGATTGGAGAAACTTAATTTTTCGCCCGAAAATGAAAAAAAACGTAAGGGGTAACACTG